TGCTGCTGGTGCTGGTGCTGCTGGTGCAGGAGCTGCTGGTGGTGCTGCTGGAGGCACTGCTGGTGCTGGAGGTGCTGCTGGTGCTGGAGCTGCTGGAGGCGCTGCTGGTACTGGAGGTGCTGCAGGTGCTGCTGGAGGTGCTGCTGGTGCAGGTGCTGCTGGAGGTGCTGCTGGTGCTGGAGCCACTGGAGGTCCTGCTGGTGCTGGAGCTGCTGGAGCCGCTGGTTCTGGAGGTGCTCGTACTGGAGGTACTAGAGCTGCTGGGACTGGAGCTGCTGCGGGGGTTGGAGCTGGAGGTACTGGAGCTGCTGGGGTTACTGGTGGTGCTGCGGGAGTTGTCGCTGGAGACCCTGGGGCTGAGGGTGCTGGTGCGGTCTCTGCTGGTTCAGGAGGTGCTGAGCGGCCGCGGCCGTACTACGTTCCGCTCCTTCAGCAGGTTCTTGGCCTCCCGCCCTCCACTGGTCCTTCTCCTCCCCTACTGAGTCCACCACCTGTCCAGTCACAGTCACAGTTACCGCTTGCCTCTCCGCTGCCTGGTCCTTCTCCTTACGCTGGGCCGACTAGAGGTCTTACGGAGCGTCGTGAGCCTGAGTCTCGTCCTGCGTCGCCTGAGTCTCGTCCTGAGTCGCCTGAGTCTCGTCCAGAGTCGTCTGTCCGCGCTGTCCGCGCTGGTCGTCGTGCTCCGCGTCAGCGTCCTCCTCCTGCACTTGGCACTCACTATATGACTCTGCGTCCTTCCACTGCTCCACAGCGTGTCCCTCTGCCGTCTCCTCCTGCGTCCTCTCTTCCTGACGTTGCTGACCCGCCGTCAGACCTTGCTCGTGCTGCTAGTCCTACTGTCACGCGTCTTCTCGCTACTGTTGTCACTGACCCTTCCTTTGAGTCCACTGCTGCGTCTGCTCTAGTTGCTGAGCTTGTTGACTTTGCTGCCGCCTGTCGTCTAGACTACGCCGCTAGCCTTGTTGTTGAGTCCGAGTCTGTCTGTCCTCCGTCCGTCGGGGGTGAGTGTGCTCTTGGCACGGACGTCCTTGAGGACAGACAGGAGGAGTTTGAGTGCTTTGCCGCTGCTTTACCTCATCTCGTGTCCATGCTGATTGCCCCTGAGGGAGACCCGGATGCACCAGACATCCCGACCCCGCGCTCTTACGCAGAGGCGATAGAGGGTCCCTACTCCTCTCAGTGGCAGACAGCCATGGACGCAGAGATGGCTTCCTGGAAGTCCACAGGCACCTACGTCGACGAGGTTCCCCCACCTGGGGCGAACATCCTCAGTGGCATGTGGATTTTCAGGGTGAAGCGGCCGCCGGGTTCTCCGCCTGTCTTCAAGGCGCGTTACGTTGCACGAGGCTTCAGTCAGCGAGAGGGAGTTGACTTCTTCCAGACCTTCTCCCCGACCCCGAAGATGACCACTCTTCGGGATCTGCTGCACGTCGCCGCTCAGCGTGACTACGAGCTCCACTCTCTTGACTTCAGCACTGCTTTCCTACAGGGCAGCCTGCACGAGGAGATCTGGCTGCGCTGCCCACCTGGCTTCACTGGGTCGTTCCCTGCTGGTACCCAGTGGAGCCTCCGGCGGCCAGTCTACGGTCTCCGCCAGGCACCCCGTGAGTGGCACGACACACTGAGGACTACTCTTGCTGCTCTTGGGTTTGCTCCTTCTACTGCTGACCCGTCGCTGTTTCTACGCACTGACACCACTCTGCCGCTGTTCTACGTTCTCGTGTACGTAGACGACTTGGTCTTTGCTACTGCTGACACTGAGGCACTCGCCCACGTGAAGTCGGAGCTGCAGAAGAGACACACGTGCATAGACCTGGGTAAGCTGACAAGCTATCTTGACTTGCGGATCACCCGGGACAGAGCACAGCGCACCATCACCTTGACTCAGTCACACATGGTGCAGCAGGTCCTTCAGCGCTTCCGCTTCACGTACTCCTCGCCTCAGCCCACTCCTCTGCCTACCGGTCACTCGCTCTCAGCTCTGCCTTCGGATGAGTCCGTAGAGCCGAGTGGCCCGTATCCAGAGCTTGTGGGCTGCCTCATGTACCTGATGACCTGCACTCGACCTGACCTTGCATACCCTCTTAGCATCCTAGCACGCTATGTCGCTCCTGGCCGTCACCGGAAGGAGCACATGGATGCCGCTAAGAGGGTGTTGCTCTACTTGTGCAGTACGTCGGGCATGGGGCTTGTGCTTGGAGGACGGAGCGACGTTGTCCTCACTGGGCACTCAGACGCTTCTTGGGCTGACGACCAGGCTACGCAGCGGTCGTCTCAGGGTTACACCTTCAGCCTTGGCTCTGGTTCAGTTTCTTGGCGTTCTACACGCTCGTCTTCAGTTCTCAGCTCCAGTTGTGAGGCTGAGATCTACGCCACAGCCATGGCTGCACAGGAGTTACGCTGGCTCACCTACCTGCTGACCGACCTGGGAGAGCGGCCTCGTTCTCCTCCAGTGCTGTACGTCGACAACAAGGCCGCCATTGCCTTGTGTCAGGAGCACAGACTGGAGCACAGAACGAAGCACATCGCTCTGCGCTACTTCCTTGCTCGAGAGTTGCAGCAGCGTGGTCAGCTTTGTCTTGCTTACGTGGCCACTCGGGCCAACACTGCTGATGTGTTCACCAAGGCGCTTCAGCCTTGTGATCATCAGCGTTTCTGTACTGTTCTAGGCCTTGTGCCTACTGTGCCTCACTTGCTTATTTCTTGACTCTACTTGTACTGTGATCTCTATATATATATACCTGCATGCTTACACTTGCTAGGTTGTGATCACTGTACCTCTTGTTATATTATCAAAGTGCATGTGAACTGGTCTTGTGACCACTTGCTTGTGCTCGGAATTTGTGTGGTATCCTTGAGATCCACCCTGAGTTGTGCTTTGCCTTGCTTTGCTTTGACTGGTCTTGTGACCATCTGGTTGTCTCCCACTTTGCCTATGGGGGTGTGTCAAACATTGTATATGTTTGTGTTCTGTAGGCTGTAGTGGGTTTAGCCTTAGGGGGTACAACTTCTAGGGTTTCATACTTGTACTCCCAACTTTCTTAGTTCAATCACTTCTTCTCAATTCTAACATAGCCCAGCAAGGGATAGGCTGCCTGTCGAGCAGGGCCATGATGTGATGCGAGTCAGACTCGTGAGTATGATTCGCGACTCGTTGTGACAGGAGTGGATGCGGAAAATCCGAAGGTCCAAGGGTCCAAGGTCCCCACCCCAGTACATCTCTCCCCTGGCCGTCGCCCTGCCTCGAAAAAGGGGGTTTCGCATGGCAAGGCGAGGGCCGGGATGTTTGCCCGAGACGGAAGGTGGGGAGGGGAAGTTGGGAGCTTCGTAGGAGCATAAACCCATGAGGGTAGCTGATCTGTCGCCATTTCCCTTCGAACAGGTTCGGGAGGGAAATGGCGGGCTCGTCAACATTTTCCGGGCTGACCGCCCCTCGAACCCAAATAAACGCAGTGGGGGGAAGCTACCTATTTCCCCTCGCCCCACCACCGCCAGAGCCTACAGAACAGAGCCAATATGATGGCGCTGTTCTCCAGGCACTTGATGCCGTCGGAGGAATGTACCGCGTTGCTGCCAAAGCGTTGACTTTTTGGTGGGCAGCCCAGTAATTTTTGTCTAGCCCGACGATGCCGTCCGAACCAAAACGGCATGGCATTGGCTGCATAACATGCCAGTTGGAGACGACATCAGAAGGGAACGAAATAACCTCACGTTTTCCCTCTCAGGCAAATTGCGATGCCTGTGCCACCCCATGGCAAACCACCCCAGAGAGGTGAATGGCCACGAGATGGCAGCGGGATCGGCCAATTGGAGAAACCGCCAGCACACCCCGCTGAAAAGAAATTCGCCACCAAGGGCGCCCTTTCTGAAACAAGAGCCTTGAAACGTACTTGACGAGCTGGGTTTGTGTGGGTCTGTGTTTTTTTTTCCTTTTCAGATCGCTTTTTACCCAACCCTGGCCCCGCTGAGTGCAAAAAATTGTCCAGAGCCCGCGACGAAATTGGGGGGCGGAAATCTCACTTCTAGGGCCCCCGCTTTCCGGGGCTGAAATGCGAAATTTCGCCTTTAAAAGGTGGTTCGGTCGCCAGGAGAAGTTTCTGGCCAAAATGTCTCTGATGTCGCTGCCATGCCGATGCCACCTGCCTGGAGAACAGCGCCAATGTGATGCGAGTCAGACTCATGAGTATGATTCGTGACTCGTCGTGACAGGAGTGGATGCGGAAAATCCAAAGGTCCAGTTCCGCCCTCTCCGGAAGGAAACTCCTATGCCCGGAGTGCACTTCCCGGAGTGAGACTGGTTGTTATATTTGACCTGAATACATCGCCTGAAACCTATACTCAACCGCAGTAAATCGCTTTAAAGCCATCTGTAGTGATGAAATAGCAGGTTGTTTCTCAGCTTACAAATTAGCAGTCACCTTAAAATAATTTTCAGAACGGTCTGATACGGTTTTGACAAATTGAGTATGGTTTCAGGAGTCTCGGTTGTTGGAGCCCCTTCAGTTGTCAAACGACGTGGGAGTTGGGCAAGTGTAACATTTGGGACACCTGCCCCACGCGGTCTTGTGGACAATTTGTGGGGAGGGAAGGTACCCCCTGTTCAGTAGGTTCAGATTTGGGGCACCTCTGGTAATCACCCGAAACGCGTTTCATGGGTGGTGATATTGACGTTCCTCCATAATCAGAGTCGTTAGAGTTGGCCGTATCAAGTGATTTGGTTCGTGTAAGCCTGGCAAGAAAGCACACTCTTCTTGCATGGAATTTCACATGTGAACATCGATTCTTGCTCCCCCCAGTCCTCAATACTATTAGGGGCTCTACATGCTTTGCACCTGTATTATATGTAAAACACACATGTTATGTAAGTGGTCCAACACCTTGGGGTTGGTATATCGCATGTGCCCAATGTTGGGCTCGTGTAACGCCTTACCTTCTCCACTCCAATCAAGATACGTTAAGGATGATCTTTCAGCTAGTCGAGGGATCCGCAACCAGCACATTTACACCTCGGGGGTCATTGCCTCGGCCTTGGTTCTGATGTATGAGAAAAGAACAGAGGACATGTATCGCTCTCCGAAGCTGGGCAGAACCACCTGAAAATGCAAGGAATGAATGGAGGTAAGGAAGAGTACAGAACCCTCAAGAAGAGCACATGACATAGGCGGAACATAACTTCAAAACTGTGCGAACAGAATGATATCAGAGTCGAAAAAAAATCATTACAGCATACTTGTCAGAAAGGACAAAGCCACGATACGCTCCGAGCATTCTAATTGAAAACACTCACCACGACAAGCTTGCCGGCATTCTCAGGCCTCTTGGCAACCTCGATAGCTGCCACCACTGCTGCAACAGAGGAAATGCCCGTCTGCAACACGTGAAGCGACACAATCCACACACGCACAGAACAAACGCTTCGTGCGATCAGCAAATGCCCCCAGATAGGTGCCAATGCTGCACATGCCTTGGCACAAGGGCAACAAACCCCCAGCACCACCACCCAGCACCACCACCCAGCACCACCCACCACCCAGCACCACCCACCACCCATAACCACCTCCCACCCAGCACCACCTCCCACCCAGCACCACCCAGCACCACCACCCACCCAGCACCATCCAACACCACCCAACACCACCACCCAGCACGTACCAGCAGCCCTTCCTTCACATCAAGCTGCTTGGCCATCTCCACTGAATCATCGCTGCTGACCTGCAGATGGAGGGGTTGAGAGGGGTGCAGAACAGTGAAGGGCGGGGACGGGGGGATGGCGAAGAGGGGGCAGGCAGCAAGCTGCTTGGCCATCTCCACTGAGTCGTCGCTGCTGACCTGCACACGGAGGGGTTGAGAGGGGTGCACATTGTCGAAATGATAGAATTTATACGCAAGAGGGGTGCACAAGGGTGTACGCACAAACTGCTCAACAATCTACGCCTAAACGTTTTAGGATTTTACCTGAACCCGGTGTGTGGGGACGGAGGGGTTTGACGCTAGAATGGATCGCCAATCAACTGCTTGCCATGCCTGTCTCATACCTGACCTCACCTCTGTTAGAACTACCTGAATCGAATAATGAACGTGATGTTGCCTATTTCACCTGATCTCACCTCTTCAATCCAAGCGTTTTCTCCATCTCACTTTCCTCAGCACTTCCTCACTGACTTTATCCAAGAGATTAGCGTTGTTTGGTCAACTCAAAACCCAATTAGCAATGAGTTCACTTAACAACCCAGTAGAGTTTGGGTGAGCCGACTCAACACCCCGCCCTCCTTCTCACCTAAATGACCTCGTCCAGCAGGCTCACATCGAGAACCCCCGGAATGATGCCCGCCCCTATTAGTTCTGATTCGCTTCAAAGCTCGACTCATTATGAGGTGCCTCAATCTGTTAAAACAAAATCCACCCCAACACCGTCCCCCTCTCACTCACCTGCATGACCTCGTCCAGCAGGCTCACATCCAGAACCCCCGGAATGAATCCCGCCCCAATGACTCTTGAGGCGCCTCAAAACTCCTCTCGAAAACTCCACCCCAACTCCACACCACCCAATGCGATTCGAAAACTCCACCCCAACTCCGCACCTCGACAACACTGTTTCTCTCTCACCTGAATGACTTCGTCCAAAAGGCTAACGTCCAGAACCCCCGGAATGAAGCCCGCCCCAATGCCCTGGATCTTGTGGGGACCTGTGCGGAAGAGCAGCAGGAGGGGGACCACTCATCCATCCATCCATCCCAGCTTAACGTTGGGGTTCTGGCTGCGCAAGTACCGGCCTGTGCCCGTGACGGTGCCGCCCGTGCCAATGCCCGAGATCAGGAAGTCCACTGTGCCGCGCGTGTCCTCCCAGATCTTCGGCCCAGTCGTCTCAAAGCGCATCTGCGACCAAATGAGCCACATGGGTCACGAGGGGGGAGGAGACGCATTGAGAATCCCCAATCAAGTGCCAATGCCGGAGACAAGGAAGCCGACTGTGCCGCGCGTGTCCTCCCAGATCTCCGGCCTGGTCGTCTCAAATTGCCTGCGACCAACCAGCCACGAGTTATAAGGAGGGGAACAGCATGGGAAAAGGGGAGATGAGAGGGCATGGGAAAGGCAGCGTGCGAGAAGATGGTGTGCGGCACGGGAGTTTGCGATAAGGGGGATATGCTGATGCGTAATTGGCGGTGTACCAGCGTGGGATTCGCTTTTGTAAAATTTAGTGCTTCGACCTACCACCCCCTGGATTTTGCAAGCTCTTCAGAGCAGCTGCAGCATGCACGTTCAGTTAAATCGTGCCCACGATTTCCTTTCACGTCCTGAGAGCAGGGTCATTCAGGTACAGCTCTACAGTAAATCCTCGCTACAATCTCGCCATACTTTGGGGTTCGCGGGGTTCTCGAACTGCTGCAGCATGTACGCGTCTTCGGTGCCCTTCACAATCTCCTCCGCCTTAGCAACAGCGCTCTTCATGCCCTTGGCGGGGTCCGTTAAGACAAGGTCGGCCCCGAAGGCCTTGAGAAGCACGCGGCGCTCGAGGCTCATGGAGGCGGGCATGGTGAGGACGAGCTTGTAGCCCCTCGCCGCTGCTATGAACGCCAAGCCGATGCCCGTGTTGCCCGACGTCGGCTCCACCAGCGGGGGGAGAGGAGGGTGGGACAGAGGTACACAGGACAACATGGCAAAGCAATACTTCTGATGCCCATGTTGCCTGACGTCGGCTCCACCAGCACGCTCTGCTTAGTGGATGGGAGGATAATGGGAACATTATAAGGGTTCTGTAACAGGAGAAATGTTACCAATGATGCCCGTGTTGCCCGACGTCGGCTCCACCAGCACGCTCTGCTTAGTGGACGGGAGGATAATGGGAACAGGATAAGGGTTCTATAACAGGAGAAATATTACCAATGATGCCCGTGTTGCCCGACGTCGGCTCCACCAGCACGCTCTGCTTAGTGGACGGGAGGATAATGGGAACAGGATAAGGGTTCTGTAACAGGAGAAATGTTACCAATGATGCCCGTGTTGCCCGACGTCGGCTCCACCAGCACGCTCTGCTTAGTGGACGGGAGGATAATGGGAACATGATAAGGGTTCTGTAACAGGAGAAATGTTACCAATGATGCCCGTGTTGCCCGACGTCGGCTCCACCAGCACGCTCTGCTTAGTGGACGGGAGGATAATGGGAACATGATAAGGGTTCTGTAACAGGAGAAATGTTACCAATGATGCCCGTGTTGCCCGACGTCGGCTCCACCAGCACGCTCTGCTTAGTGGACGGGAGGATAATGGGAACATGATAAGGGTTCTGTAACATGAAGTTTTTTGAAAGTGTGTAACACTTTCAAAAAATGTATATTTCGAAAGCGAAGCTGCTTGTAATGCAGCAATGGCAACGGCGAAGTGCTCTACGCTCTTCGCCAACTATATAGCAGGGGGTGGAGGCCATTTGGCCTCCACCCACGTCTTCGTTTGAAATTTCAAATGTCTTATTTCCCACCCACCCACCCTAGCAAAAATTGCATGTTGTAACTTGTAATGTAGGTACCATATCTAACTAGGACGAGAATGTTGTAATGCCAAGAAAGCAAGCTTTCTAAATAGGAGAAATGTTACCAATGATGCCCGTGTTGCCCGACGTCGGCTCCACCAGCACGCTCTGCTTAGTGGACGGGAGGATAATGGGAACATGATAAGGGTTCTGTAACAGGAGAAATGTTACCAATGATGCCCGTGTTGCCCGACGTCGGCTCCACCAGCACGCTGTGTTAGAGGGGGTAAGGAAGAAGGGGACATGGGGAGACATGAGGCAGCTCAAGCCAAGCCGATGCCCGTGTTGCCCCACGTCGGCTCCACCAGCACGCTCTGTTAAAGGGGCGAGTGGGGCAGGTCAACAAGGAGGCACAGGATGAGATGCAGAATTATACCTCTGAAGCCCCGTTGTCCGACGTCGGCTCTACCAGCCCCGTTGTTTTACACTGATACATTTGATTCACATTCGGTTCAACTAAAACGGTTGACAGCGATGTTATGCATTTAGAAGCGGCGGTCAATGAGCCTTGAACCACTAATCAACCAAACATGATTCCTACCATAGTTCTGTTCGGTGAACGGAGCCTTGTCGCTTCGCCACCAGATGGGCGACAAATCGCCAGCTCGCGAACTTGTTTCTGACACTGTTCATGTATTCTACTGGATGCCCCGAGGCGATGTGTCAGAGAACTTGAACAACCCCTTCCCTCCCCTTTCTGAGGGCGTACCTCAATTCCCGGGCACAGAAAACATCAGTCGAAATACAATAAGCGTTACATATTATTACATACAGGAAAATACTAATTTCTTCTAAATGCTGCCACCATCCACTCTCAAACACTGAAGGGAAGGAAACCTTGAGTAGAGACTTTCAGGTAGCGTCTTCAGCTTGGCGCAATTCATGAGATCCAGCTGTGTTATTGATATGAACCTCCATATGAAACGCGGCAGATATGATATCTCTTTTGCACAGATCTGAAGCCTCCGGAGGTTTGGGGGGCACGACACTGTTCCATCAATCGTCCCACCATAGCTGTTGAGTATGCCATTAAACCGAAGTGTATGCATCGAAACAAACTGCGAGAGGGAAGAGAGAGAAGCCCCCGAGTTGACGTACATGCCAATAACCAGCACTTGGAGCTTAGGCAGAACGGGAAGAGGGGAGGAGCGAGGAAGCGAGTCCAAATACAAGACCTGGAGGTTCGGACACTGCAGCAGCAGCTGATGTCGGAAATTTCTCACAAGAGACCCCATCCGTGCGAGGTTCCCCAGGTGTTTCTTCAGGTGTTTTCCACGCCACGTCCGCACATCCCTCACCTCCAGAAGCAGAAGATTAGGAAAGAAACACGCGCTACCGCCATCCGCTAGAGCAGAACCACTCCCGGCACTTATGTAAACACCAGAGAGCTTAAGCACCTTGAGGCTGGTGGATGCGAGGGAAGCGAGGTCCAGGCGGACGGTTTGGGGGAGGAAGGAGGGAGCGACAGCTGGCGAGGGGGTGACAGAGAGGACGGTGAGGGAGGAAGGCAGGGAGGCGCCACTTTGCAATGCTGCTACTAGCAAGTCCCCGTCCACCTCCAGCTCCGAAATCCGTCTCCCCTCACGCACCCCCTCCCTCGCCTCCTCACCTGCTGCAGGGGCAGCAGTGGCAGCAATGGCAGCAGGAGCAGCAGGAGCAGCAGCAGGATTAGCAGGATGGGCAGGATCAGCAGCGGGGCCAACGAGCTGGTGTGCTTTCAGCACTGCCACGGTCCCTCGAGACATGCGCAGCTGCTCCAGCTGCTGAGTACTATTCGCCTGCTCACCTCCCTGCCGACCCCGCTGCTGCTGCTGCTGCTGCTGCTGCTGCTGCTGCTGCTGCTGCTGCTGCTGCTGCTGCTGCTCCTGTTGCTCTACCCCAACTCTCCCTACTTCTACCCTCCCAACCTCGGGGTGGTTTCCAACAAGAGCCCCCATCATCAATCCCGGTACCGGGTGGCCTAGCAGCTGGAGACAGGACAAATGCCGCAACCCGGACACGCCTGCCACGTAAGCATGTCGTTGCATGCCAGGGTGAAACGCCGGGTTGCGGATGGAAAGAGAGCGAAGAGCAGTTAGTTCCCATATCGAAAGTGGTAGGTGTGCCATAAACGGGAGGGTGAGAGCGAGGGAGGTGAGGGACTCTTGAAGCCCGGAAAACATGATTTCGTAGAGCCTCGGGACTGGGTAAGCTCTCGCCCAATCAGGACCCAGTTGCAGCTCCAGATGTGACAGTAACGAGAGGTGACTGAACGGGGCGGAGGAGCAGGTGACAGGGCAAGAGGGGTCTGACACGTGGAGAGTGAGGGACTGGAGCGCGGGGACGGAGGGGAGGAGGGAGGGTGGGATGGTTTTGAGTGAGAGCGAGAGGTGGGAGAGACGGGAGAAGAGAGGGATGATGGTCAGAGGGAGGTGAATGGTGGTGGGGAGTGGTGGGAAGGCGGAAGGTCGAGGGATGGTGAGAAGTCGAGACAGGGAGAGGAAGAGGAGGAGGAGGGGAGGAGGTGGAGGGAGGTGAGGTCTGAGCATCGCTGGAGCAGCAGCATGAGACCATGAACTGAATCTGGACAGGATTCTGGGTGGTGGGGGTCGTGGGAGTTGTTGGTGTTGCTAGTTGATTGATGGGGATCGCCAATCACACGAATGCTCTCTGGGTTGCCAATGTTGTCAGTCGGGTTTTGATTGTTACCGGTGGTGGCATGGAAGATTTGGTTTCTGTGATGGGACGGGAGTGTGACTGTATCAGGAGGTTGGGAGCGTGCGCCTGTGACCTGTAACGGGTGTCGTCGGGTCGTTATGCCGCCTTCCACCTGCCGGCCCAACTGGATGTGACAATGGCGAAGGGACGGGCAGCAGCGCGCAACGATGCGGCAGATGGCATCGATATAGTCACACCTGGTGTCAGCGCCGAGATGTGACAGAAACGGGAGGTGGAGGGATGTGAGCTGTGGGAAGCTTCGTAGCAATGAAGCAACACGGTGCAGGGACCAGGATCTGGTACTCGGAGGTGTATCCAGTCGGAGCATATCTTGTAACGAGGATAAAGCCAAGGAGCGTGAAGCTAACGAGTCGAATCTGCCGCCAGACGCTTCCAGGGAAGGCAGAGACGCTGATGCTTCGTTATAAGCAGCCGCAGCCTCCGACGAGTTGTCGGCTCTAGCTGGTTCGATCGATGAAAGCGACGTTTGAAGCTCGTCCAAGCAACAGCGCGCGTCCCAGCCATCCATGGACGACTCAAACCCGCCTTCAGAACCGGTGAGATGATTCAGCCGCTGATTCATTGAATCTGGACGAGCATTTTGGAAATTATGGTAGCAGGGCAGCTGACTGAACGGAGACTGCCTGAGCAGCGGCTCCCATTCCAGTGAAAGCGAGTTCAGCGCGAGTGACACGTGGCAGACTGACGGCCGAACGACGGCTCTGTAGCAGCGCCACCACGAGCGACACGTGGCGCCTGCTCGTGCCACGTGGGCGGCGTTCGTTAGAAGGCAGAGGATTCGCGAGAGGCAGTCGGTTGGAAGGGCCTGAGCGCCGCCGGAAGCTCGAACTTGAATAGCAGTCGCCGCCGTCAATCGTTCTTCCTCCACGTTACACTCACGGCTCGATAGCAGCGGCGAATGCACTTGAATAGCAGAGGCCGCCGGCGGTTGCTCAGCTTGACTCGACTCGCAACGCGCGAGGCAGTCGCTCAGCGGAAGGGCCTGAGCGCCGCCAGTCGCTCGCGGGGCTTGAATATCAGACGTCGCCGCCGATTGCTCACTCCGCATACCGGTGCCAGCTCGTCGCTCAGCCGTCGTTCGGTATGGGTTTTGAGTTGAATCCAGACCCGCGAGGCAGTCGGGAAATGTCGCAGCACTGGACGCTCGCTGAACTTGAACAGCAGATGACTCCGGAGAGTTCTCACCCTGCGTACCGTTGTGAGCTCGCCGCAGTGGCCGTTGTTCTTCCTCCATTATACCGCCACCGCTTGCCAGGAGCAGTGGCGGTTGTACTGATGAATAAGCGCAGGTTTCAGTCGCGGCCATCCCTCTGTCTGACGAAGTAGAACCACACGGTATGCTACTCGGTGATGCTGCACGCTAAGTGGCGCACAGTGATACCAAGCTCACATGGTAATGGTTGGTAGGCTCCGCGTTTCTGATATCACGCACACATTCGAAGGTGGTCGTCGCGTTGAATACAGACCTCGGACGATGCACTTATTTAGCTCGCAGAAACTACTATCCCGTTCAGAATAGCATTCTTGGAAAACGGAAGATCCAGGAAAAATGACGGCAGGACGACGGAGAGAATGACGGAGAGAATGACGGGCGGAATGACGGACAGAAGAACGCAAAATGACATGGATCCAAGAAACCTGCTGTATTTGAATGACTTGGTTGTGATGGGAGTCGTGAGTCGTGACTCGTGAGTCGTGACCTTTGATTTGAGTCGTGACAGGAGTGGATGCGGAAGGCCCCGGGGTCGAGTTCCGCCTTCCCGACGGACACTCCCAAGGCCGCAGAGCGCTTCGGGGAGTGATACCGTTTGTTCTATTTGACCTGATCACACCGCTGAAACACATGTTCAACCGCAGTGAATCGCCTTGAAGCCAGCCAGCTGAGGTGTGATGATGGTTGCGATGAAAATGGCGGGTTGTTCGAAGTTTACACGTCAGCAGTCACCTTAAAAAGGCTTTCGGAGCGGTATGCTATGGTCTCATCATCTTGGGTATGGTTTCAAGGTTTAGTTAATGTCTCTCAAGGTGATATCGCATGAGTGGGTTCTTGGGAGGAAGCCCTTTCAATCTTCAACGTCGTCGCTGGAGTTGGGCAGGCGTAACATTTGGGACACCTGCCCCCACTCGGTCTTGTGGGCAATTGGTGGGGGAAGGAGAGGTACCCCCTATTCAGTAGGTTCAGAGTTGGGGCACCTCTGGTAACCACCCGAAACGCGTTTCATGGGTCGCGATATTTATAGGCTTCTCCATAATCTGAGTCGCTAATGTTGGGGTCAAATCAAGCTGCATCACGTGATATGCTGTGTTTAGGCATTACAAGGAAGCGTGCTCCCTTTGTATGATACATCCGTTTTGAAAGATTTCATGTGCTAACTTTGACCACTTGCTCCCTCACTTCAATACTCTATTGCTAACAATAATAAATTTGGCTCTACATGCTTCATACGTGCATTTTTACTAAAGTGAATACACCCATGTTTTGTTATCAAGTATATATGGTATGATTCAAAACCTTGGGTTTGGTACTGCATGTGCCCAATGCTGGGCTCGTGTAACGCCTTACCAATGCCACCCAACATTCGAATCATGATACGTTGGAGCGATAATCATTCAGTTAGTCTAGGCATCCACACCCAGCAGATTTACACTTCGGGGGTCATTGCCTCAGCCTTGGTTCTAATGTCAGAGAAAAGAACGGAAGACAGGTACCGCTCTCCGAAGCTGGGCAGAACCACCTGAATAGAGAAGGTATGAATGAAAATAAGAGCAGTACAGAACCTTGGAGTATGCACAGTATATTGGAAAGTAGCTTTCAAATTGTGCGAAAAAAAAGTCGTTTGGGTCAATGAAAGCATCACAGACAAGACCAGGTCACGTTTGCGAGCGTGCTCATCGTAAACACTCACCACGACAAGCTTGCCAGCATTCTCAGGCCTCTTTGCGACTTCAATGGCTGCTACCACTGCAGCACCAGAGGATATGCCAGTCTGCAACACATGCGAAGGAGACACATTTCACACACGCAGAACATACATTTTTTTCAGTCAACAGATGTCCCAAGCAGAAATAATAAACAGTGAAACGAACAAGAACAGAGGCAGTTCAACCAGTGAACCGGGCGAAACAAGCAACGCATACAAGAAGTGCTTCCATACAAGCATGTACACCAACCACCACCACCCAGCACCACCACACACCAGCACCAACGACCATCACCCAGCACCACCCAGCACCACCACCCAGCACCACCGCCCAGCACCACCGCCCAGCACCACCGCCCAGCACCAACTACCACAACCATCCACCACCACCCAGCACCACCACCCACCCAGCACCACCACCCAGCACGTACCAGCAGCCCTTCCTTCACAGCAAGCTGCTTGGCCATCTCCACTGAGTCATCGCTGCTGACCTGATAGAGGGAGGGGTTGAGAGGGGTGCAGAAAGGTTAAGGTGATTAAACCCCTAGGCCGGAAGCTGCCTGGCCATCTCCACTGAGTCGTCGCTGCTGACCTGCACACGAAGGGGTGGGGTGCAGAAAGTTAAAAGTAATTTAAGACCTAGGCTGGAAGCTGCTTGGCCATCTCCACTGAGTCACCGCTACCAACCTGGGAATAGAGGGGTGCAGAAGTTTCAAACTGATTAAACCCCTAGGCAGGAAGCTGCTTGAGGAGGGATTATATGCACAACTGTTCTACACACCACAAACGGTTGGGGTTCTACCCAAAACCAAGGATGTGAGGACGGTAAGGTTTGAGGCTAGAACGGATCGCCGGACCAACTGCTTTCCTTGCCTGTGTGATACCTGAGATCATGAACCCTATGAGTGCTTCTTCCCCAATAAGTCCTGATGCTCCTCAACAGTCGTCTCATTTTGACGCGACTCAGAACTCGTCTCGAATACTCCACCCCAAAATCGCTTCCCTCTCCCTCACCTGAATGACTTCGACCAAAAGGATAACATCCAGAACCCCTGGAATGAAACCAGCCCCAAATAGTTCTGAGGCGCCTCATATCTCGTCTAAAAAACTCCACCCCAACACCGTTTCCCTCTCACTCACCTGAACGACTTCGTCCAGGAGGCTAACGTCCAGAACCCCTGGAATGAAGGCCCGCCCCAATGAATTCTGAAGCGCCTCATATCTCGTCTAAAAAGCTCCACCCCAGCACCGTCTCCTTCTCACCTGAATGACTTCGTCCAGCAGGCTAACGTCCAGAACCCCTGGAATGAAGCCCGCCCCAATGCCCTGGATCTTGTGGGGACCTGTGCGGAAGCGCAGCAGGAGGGGGGAGGGACGGAATTGGCAGAGTGACATAGTGCAAGGTTTTGAGTGACGCCTACTTCAATGAACAGAGTGTCAGTCAGTCAGCTCCACGTCAAATAGCATGCACACATGGAGGCTGTACAAAAAAAAAAATGGGGAAAGTTGGGCATGCCCTTCAAGCACACACATGGCTTCAACTAGCATAATTGGGAATGGCAGGGTCGCCTCTTTCTCATCCTCCTGAAATAACAGCGCTCTTCATCCATGGGCTGACTTCTAATTCAACTCGAAAACCATCTCTTCATTTCTACTACAGCCAGTCCAGCCTCACCTGGCTTTCCGCCTGAGAGAACAGCGCTCTCCTTGGGCTCCACTCCGATCAGCTGCGGGAGAGATGGGGCAGGGAGCGAGGCACGGGAGGAGGGACGAGATCAGCACAGCGGATGAAATGCCTTTTGCCATGATTCCACCATCATTTTGCAACGTGAACGAAAAGAAAAAAATAAAGAAAGAAAAATCCACCCAGCCTCATCGTTGCACAGTATTGCACAAACTTAATAGAGATTCTGAGTAACGAAACAAGTCTGGAGAGTCCACAGTGGCAAATCCCGCACCTCCAAACCCCCCACAACCGAGATGAGCAGGTCCACTGTTCCACCCAGCTTCCATTGTGCCACCCACCCATCCCAGTTTGCTGTTGGGCTTCTGGCTGCGCAGGTACAGCCCCGTTTCATGCCCATGTCGGTCCCACGGTCCCACCCACCCATGCATGCGCCCAACCCGACTACCCGTCCATCCCACCTCAACGTTGAAGTTCTGGCTGCTCAGGTACCTCCCTGTACCAATGCCAGTGCTGTCCGTGCTGATGCTCAGCCAGACCACCTTGATAGGCCGATAGCCATCCATCCTCCCCCTTACTACCCATCCATCTAACCTTAACGTTGGGGTTCTGGCTGCTCAGGCACCTCCCTGTGGCTGTGGCGGTCCCCCCGTTGCCCATGACAGCCCCACCCATGATGATGCGTCAGACTACCTCCATATTCCACTTAGCCCCCCCCTTTATTACCCATCCGGCTCACCTTAACGTTGGGGTTCTGGCTGCGCAGGTACCGCCCCGTGCCTGTGACGGTCCCACCCGTGCTTAGACGCTTGACCGCCTTGATAACCACCCAGTCCCCCCTTGTGACCACTCATCCATCCATCCACCTCACCTTGACGTTGGGGTTCTGGCTGCGCAGGTACCGCCCCGTGACCGTGACAGTGCCACCCATGCCAATGCAAGTGCTGCCCGTGCTGATGCGCCAGCCAGACTACCTTGATAGGATGATAGCCAATCATTCCCCCTTGTGACCACTCATCCGTTCATCTCACCTTAACGTTGGGGTTCTGGCTGCGCAGGTACCGGCCCGTGCCCGTGATTGTCCCACCCGTGCTTAGACACTTGACCACCTTGATAACCACCCAGTCCCCCCTTGTGACCACTCATCCATTCGCCTCACCTTAACGTTGGGGTTCTGGCTGCGCAGGTACCGCCCTGTGCCCGTGACAGTGCCACCAGTGCCAATGCCAGAGATCAGGAAGTCCACTGTGCCGCACGTGTCCTCCCAGATCTCCGGCCCGGTCGTCTCAAAATGGACCTGTGATCAACCAGCCACGAGTCACGAGCGAGGGGAGAGGGCATGGGAAAAGGGGAGCGGAGAGGGAATGGGAAAATGCGGCGAGCGAGAAGATGGTGTGACACGGGAGTGTGCGACAAGGGGGATAAGCTGATGCGTAATTGGTGATGTACCAGCGTGGGGCCTCTATTCGTATTTTTTAGCACTTCTTACTACAAGCTCTTGGATTCCGCAGGCATTTCGAACTGCTGCAGCATGCACGCTCCGTCAGGTCTTGCCTACGATTTCTTTCGCCTTAGCCACAGCACCCCTCACGTCCTGCGTAGGGTCCACCTCTACACTACATACTCTCTATGATCTCGCCGTATCCTGAAATTCGCGGGGTTCTTTGACTGCTGCAGCATGTAAGTGCAACTCGACTTCCACTCGAGCCCCTCCGCCCTAGTCACCGCGCGCTCCCTCCATGCCAAAGTTTTAAACCTGGGGGGGTAATGTCGAACTTCTGCCAAAGTTTCTTAACTGGGGTGTGTCAAAACACCTCTTCATAATCTCGCCATACCTTGGGGTTCGCGGGGTTCTCGAACTGCTGCAGCATGTACGCGTCTTTGGTGCTTTTCACAATCTCCTCCGCCTTAGCAACAGCGCCCTTCATGCCCTTGGCGGGGTCGGTCAGAACGAGCTCGGCGCCAAACGCCTGCAGCAGCACGCGGCGCTCGAGGCTCATGGAGGCGGGCATGGTGAGGACGAGCTTGTAGCCCCTCGCCGCTGCTATGAACGCCAAGCCGATTCCCGTGTTGCCCGACGTCGGCTCCACCAGCACGCTCTGGCAGGGTTGAAGGGGAGAGGGAAGGGAAGACGAGGGGGAACATGTGGAACAGATATCATCAGGTGATGCACGCGAAAATAAAACACGGCACTATATTGCTTATATATGGCTAAAGGTGGGAGGGACATAGATTGGAGCCGAAATTCAATCCTCGCTCACCTTCCCCGCCTCAATGAGGCCTCGCTCCTCAGCGTCGTTGATCATGCTGTACGCGATTCTGCGGAAAATAGGGGGGTAATGACAAGCGAAGTGGGTTCAGAAATTAGACGCCGCGAGATGACGTAGAGAGACGCGAAACGGGACCCGTTTACGAGCTCTGCAAAAATTTCTTCAAGGAATTTTAAGAAATGATGCGATTACGCATCAAACATACGACTCTTCAGCTTATAATCGGTCCGGGATTATGCGCATTGCGCATACATCAGGAGCAGATTAGGCGAGGAACTAGGTCCAGCTACAATCTAACGGAACAACATTTCATATCCACGAAAAGGAATTTCTCTCATGTCCTCGACGCTGCCACACGGCTCTCATAAACGCTGACAGCTCTAATCAAGACGGCGCATGAAACGGCATACCTGTCCTTGACGCTGCAGCATGGCTCCATGATTTCGAGCTTCGCTGCGATGTTGGCGACGCAGCCGTCGACGACCTTGTTCAGATACACCATGGGAGTGCTGCCGATCAGCTGCACGAGTAGCACATCGGAAACTTTTCAGAAACATAATTATAACCATGCTCGCCTGCTTCTTAAGTAACCGCGTAGGACATGACGCGATAAGCAGCAAACGTTGCGATGCAATGCGACGAAACCAATAAATAATTTTACGATATTGTCAATGCATTCTACCGACCTGAGTCACATCTGCAGCGATGTTCGTCGCCGTCGCAGTCTCAGCTTCCACAGCTTGAGATTTCGCCGAAACATCCTGCTTCCTGATCAAGGACGCTTCGCAAGGTCCCGCTGCGGCTGAGAAGGAACAAGCAGGCTTCTTGGCTTGAACAAACGACACGACTGGCTTCAAGAACGAGGTCCGAAGCTCAGCCGCGGAAAAGCAAGCTGCAGCCTTGACAGTCGAAGATGAGACAGAGACAGCAGCCATGGCTTCAAAATGGGGGAAAAGTAGCCGAGAAACTGCTCGGAGCTAAGAAATCACTCCCGAGGACACTGGGAAACAAAATGCGGAAATGCAGAGAAGTCAAGAAATGAGGTCCCTTTGTCAGCATGAAGGATTGTCGGCGCAGTACAGCAGAAACCCAGGGATGAGGCGAAATAGCGCGCATCGGCGGAAATCGCGTTTGTCTTAATTAAATCGACCCAAATTGCTCCCCCTTCGCCACGTGGGCGTTTCTCATAATTGGATGGACCTCGTTTGCGCCCGTCCCCCCAACCCGATTTTCCCGCCCTTCCCCACCGAAATTCGGGCAGCCGTGTGTACTCGCGTGAAATCACAAACAGTCACGATTACAATCTAACCACAACATGCGACAGTGTCCAGATACTTGTGGCATGGCACATCACCTTTCCAACAAATTCTCGATTTTTTTTATGTTCTTAAATATCTTTACATTAAGCTTATTCCACGAAACATATAAAATCACTATAGATTTAAGTTTTTTTTTTTAATAATAGAAACTCATATGCAGATTTGAATAAACCAATTTAAAATAGGTAAAGATTTCGTTTGAATATATTGATTTATAGTTTTTATAATTGAAATACTACCCTCCAATTACCAAGTTTGTAAAAAAACAAATATGTTAATGCAGTGGCATACAAATAACAAAACCCATATTACTGCTTAAGATCTTATTCACAAGAAATTGTGTTTATATTTTATGCTCAAGCTATAAACATTCACAGAATGAATCACAATTTTACTACTGGTTATATATTCTATGAACGTGCACGTCATTCAACATTGAAGAATCAAAACGCACTGCATGCATGTCATTTTGGCGCGCAAATTAAATCACCAGTGTTCTGTCAATTTAGATGTCGCTCGCATGTTGAATACTTAGCGTTACGAAAAGGCATGTATTCGTGACTGTTTGTGATTCCAAAAAATTCCAGCGGGTGCCCGAATTTCGGAGGGGAAGGGCGGGAAAATCGGGCTGGGGGGGCGGGCGCAAACGAAGTCCATCCATTTAAGGGAAACGCCCACGTGGCGAAGGGGGAGCAATTTGGGTCGATCTAATTGAGACAAACGCGATTTACGCCGATGCGCGCGATTTCGCCCAGGGATGATCATGGATCTTCTTCACGCAAGGAATGATACGTCGGAAGTTTGCGCCGCTGGGCGGAGTGCGCAGGCTGTGGGGAAATCGTGGGTGGGGTGGGGCTGGCTGGAGGGAAGGGAGGGGGGAGGGAGCCTCGAGTCGAGAACTTCGCCCTGCTTCTCAAGAGGGGAGGAAGGGAACTGGGCAGGATGTGGCGGAGGGTGAGGGGGTGCGCGGAAAAAACATCCTCCCGCTTTGCTTGGCTATCAACGCTAGTGTACCCTGTCCTTTTGCGAAAGGAGAACCTGTATCTGCTTCGCGAAATTATTTCGAAACTGGGAGATGCACCCAATGACAGGTCCCTCTGTCAACCTGATCACCGAACCGAACCTCCAGGAAAAGTGCCGTCTGCCGGCCATCTTGATGACTAATAGAAAGTAGCCACGTTTACAGTATCAACACAGGAATCTTGGAAGATATCACACATGCTAACACGGGCCCAGTTCTGTTGCCCAGCGGCAAATGGAGGGCGGACAGCACAGCACAGCACCACTGGTGCGGCCGGGTGCTTCCGCGAAGCCAATAACCCCCCACTTTGGTCCGATTCAGCTTCCTGCCACCCTCCGCGCAACTGGAGGAGCTTCGTAAATGTTTTGCTGTGCTGACCGTGAAAATGTTTTAATTGACGATAATTGGTGGGTTTGGAGAAATACTGCTGACCAGTACCAGAAATAATTCCCGTCACCAATGGGACATTGCCCTCTCCCGTAACGTTCTGTTTTCGGGGCATTTGTCCCTGCCCGGAACTACTTGTGCTGTCCCTGGGTCCGCGATTCGAGCGGGAACCAGTCTCGCACCAGTCTCGCACCCAGTTTGCCTGGGAGGAGGGGACAGTACAGCACTACTGGTTCAGCGTTCTTTTGCGCTTGGTGGGCCGCACAGCACAGCACAGCACTGGCCAGGTTCGGGAGAGAGTTCAAGGTCCCGAGCCTGATTCAAGGAATGCACCCTTGGAATGGAATCTTCGAGGATTACCGGTAGAGGCCCTCACGAAGCATCATCTAGTGCTGTGCGGAGGGGTCTGCACCAGTAGTGCGGCAACAGAACTGGGCCACGAATCACGGCTACAATGTTCTTACATCGAGGTACTTGGGAATGGCATTGCTTAGTAAACAAGGGGATGTAGATGCTGAAGGTAATATATGTTCAGATGTAAATCTACAAGAAATTCGACATACATCACATTTCCAAAATCCATAGCGGAATATATGCCATATATACCCATTGTAGCGAGCGACATTATAGGTGCTATTGATGCTCTCTTTGTCAAGGGTTTGGGATGTGAGCGACTCCAGGATGGCAAATGCTGTACCTACTGGATTGCTTGTCGCGAAGTCCAAATCCACTGTACCCTGAACCTGGTTCTGACTCGGGGTCTGGGACCTGGCCAGAGAGCTGAGGAATTGAAAGGAGTGTGTCGAGATCTGTCCGACTTTTGCGGATGTCATCACTGTCCGGTTGTCCCGAATTGTATTCGGAAATGTTATTCGGTCCTTAGAATTGACACCGAGTCATTCCTAATTCGTACTCCAGAAGTTTTAGGGACTTCTCTAGTCACAAAACACTTCCTAGTCGAACTGTTTCTCGCCATTTCCGACTACTGTATTCACAAGATTCCTTGTTCCTCGACAGAGCAAGCAGGATTCCATTCAAAATTCATGGCGAATCAGAACTGCTGTGGTGCTGGCCGACAGCACAGAAGAACGTCGCTTCCTACTCGCGCCGTGAGGGCAACGCGCTTTGCTTCTCGTCTGTCGAAAATCGTCTCGTGCCATTGGAATGTACAACTCCGACCCTCGCAATATCCCTGCTATGTAGACAATACCCAGCAGGCTCGCGGTCAACGCAGGTTGCGTTTACGCGGTTTCTGCATAGCACATTCACACATCATCAGGCGTTTCAAAGTTCCTCAATATACGGCCCGTAATCGTTTTATCTACGTTGTCGCTGCTGCGTCACCAGAAAGGTCACGCGTCAACCACTCCATTCATCCTGCTAGGAGTCATCTTCGGATTTGCGGCTGCAGGCCCTCAGCACTCAAACCGGCTTTCGTGTCTCGCGTTTTCCCGAATCGATGAACTGCCGTAGTCACCGACCTGCTCGTTTAGAACGCGTAGCGCAAGAGCTACACTCATGCAGTTTGGTAGTGAGAAACATAGCGAAGGTATACGAGGTACGGTTTTGATCCTGCTCGGCGTAGGGTGGCAGCTAAACGAAACTCGAGGTCGTATCCCGTGGTCGAGGACGCTTTGATCTGAATGTCAATTCTTGAGACGCGTGAAAAGCGGCAGCTATAGTAACCGTTCAGTGATACACCTCCTCGGATTAGCTTTTATGTTCTCACAAAAAAAAAGGGGATAGTAAGAAGTACATAAATTATTAAAAGGGGGCTTGTTACACATTTCCTGTAAAGTGCTTCAGTAAGGGGGATAAGAAACACAGGTTAAATAAAAGGGGTTGGGTTTGAGGGAAAGGAGGAGGTCGGAAACGATGCAGTTTATATGGGGAATGAAGAGCGTCTTGTCGGGTTTGAATCCGCACCACCAACATCATCATCGCCAGAAGGGGCCAAAGCGACCGGAAACCGATATAGCTGATGACGTCACTCAGGTATACCGTTGCGCCTCCCTTGCCAGGTATACAGGTTTTTGTTTCCATTGATCCCCTGACTCCTGACATTGGCATCTGATCAGGTGATGATACCCCATTCTCTTGAACAAACTTCATACGAACTTGGTGATATGAGTGTAGGAAGCATAGAGTGCAATCTGCGTGGGGAGCATAGCGTGCAAGCTGAGGCTCATCCCCCCATCCCTCCCCTGCTTTCCTGCCATGACACACCCGGCCACCTGAACCCCCCAGCTCATCGGTCGCACGCCCATGGTGTATCTGAACAAGGTCTCGGAGGGGTGTGTGGGGAGCATAGTGTGCAAGCTGAGGCTCATCCCCCCATCTCTCCCCTGCTTTCCTTTCCGTGCCACACCCTGCGCGCGACACCCCCCAGCTCATCGGTCGCACGCCCATGGTGTATCTGAACAAGGTCTCGGAGGGGTGTGTGGGGAGCACTTCCAGCAAGCTGAGGCTCATCGCTTCATCTCTCCCTTACCCTGCCCTGCCACCCCCGCACACCCCCAGCTCATCGGTCGCACGCCCATGGTTTACTTAAACAAGGTCTCGGAGGGGTGTGTGGGGAGCATCGTGTGCAAGCTAGAGGGCATGGAGCCGTGTGGGAGCATCAAGGACCGCGTGGGGTACAGCATGATTGCAGACGCGGAGGAGAAGGGGCTGATCAAACCTGGGAAGGTGTGTTTCTCTGTGTGTGTAAGCATCAAGGACCGAAAGGGCCTATCTGTGTGTATGGGACGTGTGAGTGTGTGTGTAAGACTGGAGCCGTGTGGGAGCATCAAGGACCGCGTGGGCAGATGCGGAGGAGAGAGGGCTGATCAAGCCGGGCAAGGTGATTTGCTGAGGGTGTATGTGCTTGTAAGTGACTGAGTGTGTGTATACGCTCGGCTATGGAGCCGTGTGGGAGCATCAATCAATGAGGGGTGGCGGAGGGGTGTGTGGGGAGCATTGTGTGCAAGCTGGAGGGCATGGAGCCGTGTGGGAGCATCAAGGACCGCGTGGGGTACAGCATGATTGCAGACGCGGAGGAGAAGGGGTTGATCAAGCCTGGCAAGGTACATACGTGTGTGTTGTGAGTGTGTCTGTGAGTGTCAGTGAGTGAGTGCGTGCAAGCTGGAGGGTATGCCGTGTGGGAGCATCAAGGACCGCGTGGGTTACAGCATGATCGCAGATGCGGAGGAAAAAGGGCTGATCAAGCCCGGGAAGGTACGCACTTGTGTGTGTGAGTGTCAGTGAGTGAGTGCTTGCAACTTGCAAGTGCTGGGCTGTGGAGCCGTGTGGGAGCATCAAGGACCGGGTTGGGTACAGCATGATAGCAGATGCTGAGGAAAAAGGGCTGATCAAGCCTGGGAAGGTGTGTTGCTGAGGGTGTATGCGACCGTGTGTGTGTGCATGTTAGACCGTAGAGCCGTGTGGGAGCATGCAGGACCGCGTGGGGTACAGCATGATCGCAGATGGGGAGGGCTGATCAAACCAGGCAACGTGTGTACCTGTGTGTGCGTGCGTGCGTGCGTGTGTGCGTGCGTGTGTGCGTGCGTGCGTGCGTGTGTGCGTGCGTGCGTGTGTGCGTGCGTGCGTGCGTGCGTGCGTGTGTGCGTGCGTGTGTGCGTGCGTGCGTGCGTGTGTGCGTGCGTGCGTGCGTGTGTGCGTGCGTGCGTGCGTGTGTGCGTGCGTGCGTGCGTGCGTGCGTGCGTGCGTGCGTGCGTGCGTGCGTGCGTGCGTGTTTGTGTGTGTGACTGTGTGCGTGTGCGTGCGTGCATGTGCGTGTGCGTGTGCTTGCAAGCACTTGCACACGTGTGTTTCTCTGTGTGTGTTTGTGGGTGGGTGGGGGGGGTCCCATGCGGGCATCAGGCATCGGGCTGACCTCATCGCAGGGCCTGTGCTGTGCCCTGCCCACACACTATCGACCTGTGTCCCCCTGTCTCCCCTTGCCTTCCCCCTCGGAGCGTGCTGGTGGAGCCGACGTCGGGTAACACGGGCATCGGCTTGACCTCATGACTCTTCCGTGCTTCCCCAACTACTGACCCCTCCGCTCGACCCCAAACCAGAGCGTGCTGGTGGAGCCGACATCGGGCAACGCGGGCATCAAAGCCTCCATTTCTCCAGTTACCAAACCCCTTATTCCAACATTCCTCCTTATCCCACCCCCCAGAGTGTGCTAGTGGAGCCGACGTCGGGCAACACGGGCATCAGTGGTGTTCTTTCTCCATGCTGTCCTGTGCTCCTTGTTTCCACATTCCCCTTTATCCCTCTCCCCCCATCAGAGCGTGCTGGTGGAGCCGACGTCGGGCAACACGGGAATCGGCTTGGCGTTCATAGCAGCGGCGAGGGGCTACAAGCTCGTCCTCACCATGCCCGCCTCCATGAGCCTCGAGCGCCGCGTGCTGCTCAAGGCCTTCGGGGCCGACCTCGTTCTCACCAACCCTGAGGAGGTGAGACCCTCTTGTTCTGACCTGACTGGGGTGATACTGACTCGCCGCGTGCTGCACAAGGCCTTCGGGGCCGACCTTGTGCTCACGGACCCGGAAGTGGTGAGCGAGAGTGACGCTTTCTTTTACCGTGATCAGGTGCGTGTGAGTGAACTTAATGGGGTGAATGGGGTGATACTGACTCGCCGCGTGCCGCTCAAGGCCTTCGGGGCCGACCTCGTGCTCACGGACCCGGAAGAGGTATGTGAACCGGCTCCACTCATCCATCATGGTGAGGAAGTACAAGTCTCCCCAACAGTCCCCTCAGTCTGCATAGGACCCACAAGCACAATGTGCACCACCTCCAATGGTGCTTCGTCGATCCCTCCGCACGTGGAATCGGGAACCGCGCGAACTTGTTTTGCATGCATGCCTTGCAGCTGCTAAAGGTAGCACCATGCAGTTGAAGGCCATGTACGCACTTCTCCTTGTGCATCAACTTCAATGTGGAAACAGCCACGTTTGCAAGCCATTGATACCAAGTCTTCGAAGGCCCTTGGCCCAAGGTAGCCGACGGCTGAATTTGACTTTTGTCATCCGTGCTGTTGTGACCACACCCTGCTTGATGATGTGCTGCACGGCAGGGCATGAGAGGAGGCTTATCATTTGAACCGTCCTGTGATCCTCTCCTGACTCCTAGTTCTGAAACATCTCAATGATGCTTGATCCGTTTGATTTCCTCGCCCCCTCATGTCACCCGTTCTGTCCTCACCACATATTGTTTGACGTGCATGACTTGATTGAGGGCAGGGCATGCGGGGAGCCATCATTAAGGCCAAGGATATCGTGAGCCACTCCAAGCAAACCTTCATGCTTCCGAGTCATTCTGTTCCTATCACACTCTGCCTGTTTGACTGGACGGCAGGGCATGCGGGGAGCCATCATCAAGGCCAAGGAGATTGTGAGCCACTCCAAACACGCCTTCATGCCGCAGCAGTTTGAGAACGAGGCCAACACCAAGGTGGGCGGCAAACACCAAGGTGGGCGGCAAACACCAAGGTGCGTGCAAGATGCTGGCAAAACAATAGATTGAGCCACTTCAAGGCGGGAGCAACAAGGTGGGTCAAACTCTCTTTCAGATCATGCCATCTTTGGAACACATCAGTGTTGTTTCGAGGTAAAATTGTTAAAAGTCTGTGAAAAATGGAAAACCGTGAAAGAACGTGCCAACGTGTTTGTTAATCAAGAACGGAAGCTGGAGCTTGAATGTGGTTAATGCACGCGTCTCAAACTGCGGATCGTGCGGGTCAACCTTACCAATCTTGACTGAGTGTTGTTTTGAAAGTGTTTTGGGCGAGTTGTGGTTACGGAATGTGCGAAAGGCATTGATTGGGCAGCGCAAGGGAGGCTGTGGTTGTCGAACTTGCAGAGCAGGAAACTTCAATATTTCTGTGCAATATGGGACTCTACAACCGAACACCTGGGGTTTGCTGAATCAGCGAAAAAGAACTTGGTTACGCCCAGGGGGTGTTGCACGACCCTGGGCGAAACCAAGCAGCCCACCCTAGTTCCATCCAACCAAACACCCCGACTTCTTCTGTTCAGCTCCCCTGCCTGCCACCCACGCTCAACCTTAGTAAGGTTGAACAATTTGGGCTGTGGGCTTTAAGAATTATCATACTTTACGAATTAAGAAGGGTCGTTGTGCCATACCACCCATAGAATCAAGAAACAGGTTTCACTGTGTTGATCCTTGTGATGTCATATGGATGTCATATGGTCCTCGTAACCTTTTTTTCTCGCATGTGCCCGCACCGCAGCAGCGCAATTACACCAGTGCCGTCTAACAAACCCGTCCTCCCATTCCTTCCTGGCAGATTCACTTTGAGACGACGGGGAGGGAGATATGGGAGGACACGGAGGGGCGTGTTGATGCGGTGGTGTGCGGTATCGGCACCGGCGGCACAGCCATGGGCGTGGGGCAGTTTCTGAAGAGCAAGAAGCCGAGTGTGAAGGTGAGACTAGGGTGTTGTGCTGAAGGGGATGGACAGTTGTATGGTGCGGTGGTGTGCGGTATCGGCACTGGTGGCACAGCCATGGGCGTGGGGCAATATCTCAAGAGCAAGAAGCCGAGCGTCAAGGTGAGGCGGTGGGGTATTGTGCTGCTGGCAACATAAGGCGGCTCTGGAAGGCATGGGCAGGAGTGTGGTGCGGTGGTGTGCGGTGGTGTGCGGTGTTGGCACAATGGCACAGCCATGGGCGTGGGGCAGTTTCTTAAAAGCAAGAAGCTGAGCGTGAACGCTAGGCAGGGTGTGTTGTGCTGGCAGTACAAGGGGGGACTACGAGCAATGGGTAGGTGTGTGGTGTTGGCACCAGTAGCACAGCCATGGGCGTGGGCCGGTATTTTAAAAGCAAGAAGCCGCGCGTCAAGGTAAGGTGGATGGGGTGTTAAGTCGGCAGCACAAGGGGGCTCTGGACGGGAATGGGCAGGTGTGTGGTGTGGTGGTGTGCGGTAGTGGCAGTCGCGGCACAGCTATGGGTGAGGAACAATTCCTCAAGGGCAAGAAGCCGAACGTCAAGGTGAGGTATGAAATTCGATGGGAGAAAAGAAATTGAAGTATGGTTATATTGTCACACCACCGTACACCACCAGAGCCATCAACAGTGTGATTTCCACTCTGTCATCCCGTCTTCCCATCCATGGCAGATGATTGCAGTGGAACCTGAGGAGTCAAATGTCCTGTCAGGTGGATACCCAGGTGAGAACACTGCCAGGTGAATACGCAGGTGAATTCAACAGAGGAGTGGTGTGAGCGAATGGGTGGAGGCTTATGGTTTCCAGCCACCATCACAGATGTGGTGGATATGTAATGTGATCCACTTTTTTCACCTGATGTCATGTGGTGGGCAAATTACTGTCACTAAGGTGGATAAGTACTGGTCGATATTGTGGGCGTACTTTGATGCTTCACATGGGTCTGAAGCCAGTATATCATGGCCATACGCCACACCATGCCATGTCATGCCACACAATACCATGCCACACCATTCCCCACAGCACCCCACCGTGCCCCACCACACCACACCATGCAGGGCCGCACATGATACAGGGCATCGGAGCGGGCTTCATTCCGAGCATTCTGGACGAGAGCATGCTTGATGAGGTCATCGCGGTGAGTGCTGAGGTCACCACTCCACACCGCACCGCACCGCAATACACCGCACCACCACCATTCTGGACGAGAGCATGCTGGATGAGGCCATGACGGTGAGTGTGAGGTTAGCACGGTGGGTGCTGATGTCATCACGGTGAATGCTGAGGTCATCGCAGTGAGTCCTGATGTCACCACAGTGGGTGCTGAGGTCATCACATTCAGCGCAGTGGTCAAAATCGTGGGCAATGTGTGTCATCCTCGTGCTGATGTCATAGGAAAATTCTGGCTTCCATGCTGACGGTGACGCCGTGCCGTCCGCCTTCCATCTTCCCCTTTTATTCGGTCGACTAAAAAAACGACATCATCAAAAGGTTTCTGCTTGACCGTACGCCTTGACCTTTCTGCTTACGATGACGCCATGCCCTCCCTCCCTCCCTCCATCACCGCCCCTGCCAGGTCAGCAGTGATGACTCCATCCAAATGGCGCGCCAGCTGGCACTCAAGGAGGGCATGCTGGTGAGCTGAGCCGCCGCTTGTGCGTTGCTTCACACACCCAATGTGCTGCCACTTGTTGCTCCATCTAAAAAACTCTCACACACACACACACATCATTAACGAGTTTATCTGGAATGAGTGGACTGAATGCCACATAGCCTTCCACCTTACTTCTAGTATCCAGAAATTCCCCAGTGTGCATCTTTCTTTGGTTGCAATGGTATTGTAAAGAATCTCAGGTGGTGCTTCCATTCCCTCGCCTTTCCACAGTATTCAAGAATTATCCCTTTTCATGATTGCAATGGTGTGGAATCGCAGGTGGGCATATCCTCGGGTGCGGCGGTGGTTGCTGCGATTGAAGTTGCAAAGCGGCCCGAATATGCTGGGAAAATGGTGGTGGTACGTCTTCTCCCCGACCACCTGACACCCTTCTCTTTCCCCCCCTTACCTCCCATTTACACGCTCCCCTTCTCTCCCCCACACCCCCTCCCTCCACATCGTTCTCAACCTTCACTCACTGTTACTGTCAAATTCAGCCACAGCAATTCTTGAGTCACTTGAGAATAACTAACGATGCCTTGGTTGTGTCGCACTGATGCGCTGCAGGCCATTCTGCCAAGTTTTGGCGAGAGGTATTTATCGACTGCTTTGTTCGCGAATATTTGGGAGGAGGTTTTTAACGCGCCAACGTCTCAGTAGGCAAACATGCTGAGCCCCAACATTCCAGGGACAACCAAATGGGCAAGGAGTAGAGGAGGCATAAATTGTAAGAACATTTATTGTATTAATGTTGTACATTCTTTTATATTGTAAACCTTATAACAAGTTTGAAATGTGTGTGGATATTACTTCGCCATCTGGTTTCTCACTAACATTCTGTAATAGAAAGTACAACACTAAGAAGGATTTTTTAGTAGCCAGAGTTATGGGAACTTCGCAGGCAAACCCTCCAGTGGCGATTTTATTTTTGCCGAGTACGTCAACTTCAAGGCGACTCAATCAAACGCTGGTTCCCTCTCGTACCCTACTCAACCGTGATTAAACTCATTTCGATCGCTCTAGAACGTAAAGCGCTTCTCTGAGCCGCGTTCAAACGCACTGTCAGTCAGACCCCCGTCCATCCATCATTGTCTGCCAACTTTTTTGTCCCCCGTCCATCCAGCTCGCGAAAGTTTTGCGCAGAAGACTCTCCGCCTTCTTTGTTCCCAAGTAGAACCTCCGCGATTCTTCACTTCCGCTTCCGCCGATGGAAGCGCTCCGCCATCCGCCCTGCGCCGCGCTTGCTTCCCCATGGCTGCGCACAGACGCGCGCGCGCTGCTGCGCGGACCCGCGGGCGCGCGCGGCACGGAACGGCATGTGCGCAATCCTCCACTGTTCCGCGGAGTGCGGGCGGATTCCCGCCGCGACGAGAGTGAGGCGCGCGGAAATAGCGCGGAATTGGCGGAGCAAGGGGGACTCGGCGTGACGAGGTGGGGCCGGCGGAGTGAGGGGCTGCGCGTGAAACTCGTGGCGAGGCGGGGTGGCGAAAAGATTGGGGCAAGCGCACGCATGTTCGATGTCCCCAGCGCTTTTCATTTCCGCCTCTCCGCGTGCCATCCCCTTTCCCATTCCGCTTCCGCATTCCCCATTCCCCATTCCCCTCCGCCATTCCTCGGCCCATTCCCCATCCGCAGACGAGTGCTCCTCTCGTCCGCCCTCCCCCTCTCCCTCGCCCTGCTCGCGCCCCCTGCTCCCGCAGGTGAGTAGAGTACGACCGCCCCTTTCCCCTCTCCCCTACCCTACCGGGCCTACCCTACCCCCTTCCACCCCTCCCCCTCTCCATCGCCCTGCTCGCGCCCCCTGCTCTCGCAGGTGAGACCCGCCTCCCTGCTACTATGCCCCCTTCCCCCTCCCCTGTCCTTCTCTTGTCCGCCCTACGCCCTTCCATTCCTCCCCCACTCCATCCCCCTGCTCGTCCCCCCTGGTTCCAGCAAATCAGTACAACGCCCCTGCCCTCCCCCTTCCTCCGCTCCTCGCCATATCTTTCCCTTCCCCTACTCGTACTGTATCCCCCCGTGTCTACCTACCCTCTCTCCCTGCTTCCCTTTCCTGAACCCCACTTCCCACGTTGCCCTTCCCCTACCTACCCCACTTTCCCGGTCCCCGTCCTCCCTCCCTCTCCTTTCTTCCCTCAACCCCTGGCGACCCTATTCCCTCTCACTCTCCCCTCCTCTCCCCACTCTCCCCCACTCTCCCCGCTCCCCCCCACCTCCCCCCTCTGCGATCCTTCAGTCACCATTGCTGACGTCACCCGTGACGTCACGCCAGCTGGGAAGCTGCCTTCCGCTGAGGTGAGGAGAGTGAGAGATTTGAGGGAGTGAGAGTTGGGAGGAGCGTGAGAGTGAGAGTGGGAGGGAGGGAGCGAGTGGTGGTAACTATATGCAATATGCCTTTCGCGACTCACAAGGACGAGTAGGAGGAAGGAAGCCATGTGATGTCGCATCCTTATGATATGATGGAATCATGGAATCATGGAATCATGGAATCATGGAATCATGGAATCATGGAATCATGGAATCATGGAATCATGGAATCATGGAATCATGGAATCATGGAATCATGGAATCATGGAATCATGGAATCATGGAATCATGGAATCATGGAATCATGGAATCATGGAATCATGGAATCATGGAATCATGGAATCATGGAATCATGGAATCATGGAATCATGGAATCATGGAATCATGGAATCATGGAATCATGGAATCATGGAATCATGGAATCATGGAATCATGGAATCATGGAATCATGGAATCATGGAATCATGGAATCATGGAATCATGGAATCATGGAATCATGGAATCATGGAATCATGGAATCATGGAATCATGGAATCATGGAATCATGGAATCATGGAATCATGGAATCATGGAATCATGGAATCATGGAATCATGGAATCATGGAATCATGGAATCATGGAATCATGGAATCATGGAATCATGGAATCATGGAATCATGGAATCATGGAATCATGGAATCATGGAATCATGGAATCATGGAATCATGGAATCATGGAATCATGGAATCATGGAATCATGGAATCATGGAATCATGGAATCATGGAATCATGGAATCATGGAATCATGGAATCATGGAATCATGGAATCATGGAATCATGGAATCATGGAATCATGGAATCATGGAATCATGGAATCATGGAATCATGGAATCATGGAATCATGGAATCATGGAATCATGGAATCATGGAATCATGGAATCATGGAATCATGGAATCATGGAATCATGGAATCATGGAATCATGGAATCATGGAATCATGGAATCATGGAATCATGGAATCATGGAATCATGGAATCATGGAATCATGGAATCATGGAATCATGGAATCATGGAATCATGGAATCATGGAATCATGGAATCATGGAATCATGGAATCATGGAATCATGGAATCATGGAATCATGGAATCATGGAATCATGGAATCATGGAATCATGGAATCATGGAATCATGGAATCATGGAATCATGGAATCATGGAATCATGGAATCATGGAATCATGGAATCATGGAATCATGGAATCATGGAATCATGGAATCATGGAATCATGGAATCATGGAATCATGGAATCATGGAATCATGGAATCATGGAATCATGGAATCATGGAATCATGGAATCATGGAATCATGGAATCATGGAATCATGGAATCATGGAATCATGGAATCATGGAATCATGGAATCATGGAATCATGGAATCATGGAATCATGGAATCATGGAATCATGGAATCATGGAATCATGGAATCATGGAATCATGGAATCATGGAATCATGGAATCATGGAATCATGGAATCATGGAATCATGGAATCATGGAATCATGGAATCATGGAATCATGGAATCATGGAATCATGGAATCATGGAATCATGGAATCATGGAATCATGGAATCATGGAATCATGGAATCATGGAATCATGGAATCATGGAATCATGGAATCATGGAATCATGGAATCATGGAATCATGGAATCATGGAATCATGGAATCATGGAATCATGGAATCATGGAATCATGGAATCATGGAATCATGGAATCATGGAATCATGGAATCATGGAATCATGGAATCATGGAATCATGGAATCATGGAATCATGGAATCATGGAATCATGGAATCATGGAATCATGGAATCATGGAATCAGGGAATCATGGAATCATGGAATCATGGAATCATGGAATCATGGAATCATGGAATCATGGAATCATGGAATCATGGAATCATGGAATCATGGAATCATGGAATCATGGAATCATGGAATCATGGAATCATGGAATCATGGAATCATGGGAATCATGGAATCATGGAATCATGGAATCATGGAATCATGGAATCATGGAATCATTGAATCATGGAATCATGGAATCATGGAATCATGGAATCATGGAATCATGGAATCATGGAATCATGGAATCATGGAATCATGGAATCATGGAATCATGGAATCATGGAATCATGGAATCATGGAATCATGGAATCATGGAATCATGGAATCATGGAATCATGGAATCATGGAATCATGGAATCATGGAATCATGGAATCATGGAATCATGGAATCATGGAATCAATGGAATCATGGAATCATGGAATCATGGAATCATGGAATCATGGAATCATGGAATCATGGAATCATGAATCCATGGAATCTATGGAATCATCGGAATCATGGAATCATGGAATCATGGAATCATGGAATCATGGAATCATGGAATCATGGAATCATGGAATCATGGAATCATGGAATCATGGAATCATGGAATCATGGAATCATGGAATCATGGAATGCATGGAATCATGGAATCATGGAATCATGGAATCATGGAATCATGGAATCATGGAATCATGGAATCATGGAAATCATGGAATCATGGAATCATGGAAATCATTGGAATCATGGAATCATGGAATCATGGAATCATGGAATCATGAATCATGGAATCATGGAATCATGGAATCATGGAATCATGGAATCATGGAATCATGGAATCATGGAATCATGGAATCATGGAATCATGGAATCATGGGAATCATGGAATCATGGAATCATGAATCATGGAATCATGGAATCATGGAATCATGGAATCATGGAATCATGGAATCATGGAATCATGGAATCATGGAATCATGGAATCATGGAATCATGGAATCATGGAATCATGGAATCATGGAATCATGGAATCATGGATCATGGAATCATGGAATCATGGAATCATGGAATCATGGAATCATGGAATCATGGAATCATGGAATCATGGAATCATGGAATCATGGAATCATGGAATCATGGAATCATGGAATCATGGAATCATGGAATCATGGAATCATGGAATCATGGAATCATGGAATCATGGAATCATGGAATCATGGAATCATGGAATCATGGAATCATGGAATCATGGAATCATGGAATCATGGAATCATGGAATCATGGAATCATGGAATCATGGAATCATGGAATCATGGAATCATGGAATCATGGAATCATGGAATCATGGAATCATGGAATCATGGAATCATGGAATCATGGAATCATGGAATCATGGAATCATGGAATCATGGAATCATGGAATCATGGAATCATGGAATCATGGAATCATGGAATCATGGAATCATGGAATCATGGAATCATGGAATCATGGAATCATGGAATCATGGAATCATGGAATCATGGAATCATGGAATCATGGAATCATGGAATCATGGAATCATGGAATCATGGAATCATGGAATCATGGAATCATGGAATCATGGAATCATGGAATCATGGAATCATGGAATCATGGAATCATGGAATCATGGAATCATGGAATCATGGAATCATGGAATCATGGAATCATGGAATCATGGAATCATGGAATCATGGAATCATGGAATCATGGAATCATGGAATCATGGAATCATGGAATCATGGAATCATGGAATCATGGAATCATGGAATCATGGAATCATGGAATCATGGAATCATGGAATCATGGAATCATGGAATCATGGAATCATGGAATCATGGAATCATGGAATCCATGGAATCATGGAATCATGGAATCATGGAATCATGGAATCATGGAATCATGGAATCATGGAATCATTGAATCATGGAATCATGTGGAATCATGGAATCATGGAATCATGGAATCATGGATCATGGAATCATGGAATCATGGAATCATGGAATCATGGAATCCATGGAATCATGGAATCCATGGAATCATGGAATCATGGAAATCATGGAATCATGGAATCATGGAATCATGGAATCATGGAATCATGGAATCATGGAATCATGGAATCATGGACATCATGAATCATGGAATCATGGGAATCATGGAATCATGGAATCATGGAATCATGGAATCATGGAATCATGGAATCATGGAAATCATGGAATCATGGAATCATTGGAATCATGGAATCATGGAATCATGGAATCATGGAATCATGGAATCATGGAATCATGGAATCATGGAATCATGGAATCATGGAATCATGGAATCATGGAATCATGGAATCATGGAATCATGGAATCATGGAATCATGGAATCATGGAATCATGGAATCATGGAATCATGGAATCATGGAATCATGGAATCATGGAATCACACTTTTGAGACTCCTCTCCTCATCCACACTTCTGACAAGTGGCACATGTGTGGACTGTGGGTCTCAAAACGTGATGAGGCATTTCAACAGGCATATTGAAAGCGACTCCCCATAACCCTCCCGTCCTATGAGGCATTTCAAAAGTCACTTTTGAGAATTCTCGCAAGTGACTCCCCTCCCCATATCCCTCCCATCCTATCCCCGATCCTCACGTCCCTCTCCCCTTTCAAGTTGTGAGACGTCTCAAAACTTGTCACACCACCTCAGTTCTCGTTTCCCTCCCTCCCTTCCTCCCTCTCTGCTCCCTCCCTGCTCCCCCCTCTGCCTTCACACACTACAGGAAGCAACGGTGGCACTGTTCGAGCGCACCACCTACTCAGTGGTGAATATATTCAATGTGACTCTTCAACCCCTTTCCCCATTCTCGCCCCTTTCCTCCCATGCTCGCTACCTCCTCATACTCCCCTCCGTACAGGAAGCAACGGTGGCACTATTTGAGCGAACCACCTACTCAGTGGTGAACATAATTGATGTCACTCTGCGCCACCTTTCCCCATGCTTTCCCCTTTCCCCCTTTCCCGTGCCCTCCTTCCCCTCTACTTCCCCGTCTGCACAGGAAGCAACGGTGGCTCTGTTTTTTAACGTACCACACCACCTACTCAGTGGTCAACAACAAAGTTGATGTGACTCTGCGCCCAAGCATGAACCCCAAGGGGCACGTGGAGGGGAGGTGCCTGAAGGGGCAAGGGGAGGTGAAGTGCTGCTGGTGACTTCGCTTCCCATCCCTGCTTCTGCTTCCTTTCTGCTGCGCCCCCTCCCCGTTTGTCTGCTCCCTACTCCTCTCCCTAACCACAGAGGGCAACGGTGGCCCTATTCGGGGCACCACCTACTCAGTGGTGAATATTTTCGACGTGACTCTGCGCCCAAGCATGAGCACCACGGGGCAGGTGGAGGTGCCGTGCTGGTGACTTCCCATCCCTGCTTCTGCTCCCTACTCCCCTCCCTACCACCACAGGAAGCAACAGTGGCTCTGTTCGAACGCACTACTTATTCAGTGGTGAACATATTCGACGTGACTCTGCGCCCCCGCATGAACACCACGGGGCAGGTGGAGGTGCCTGAGGGGAACGGGTCGGGCGTCGTGTGGAACAGTGACGGGTATATTGTTACCAATTACCACGTGGTTGGGAGTGCACTCTCGCAAAACCCCCCTGCTGGAAGGACTATCGCCAGAGTCACCTTGCTCGGGACAGACGGGTGGGTTGAGTGCGGTGCCGTGAGGTGCAGTAAATCGAAGTGGTTACATTGTTACCACCAACTACCACGTGGTTGGGTTGGGAGGCATTCACGCAAAACCCCCCTGCTGGAAGGACGTGACTCTCTGGTTACCCTGGTTGGTACAGACGGGTAGGCGCAAGGGTGGGTGAGTAGTATGGTGTGGTTTAGAGGATTGTAGAGCGCTGGAGTGTGGTGTGGAACCGCAACGAATACATTGTTACCAACTATCACAAGGGTGGTTGGGTTGGGTGTGCAACTTCGCAAAACCCCCCTGCTGAAGGACCATGGCTCGGGTTACCCTGCTGAGTACAGATGTGTAGTTTGCTGCGGTTTAAAGTGGTGACGGGATGTTTGAGTCTGTGCAGAGTGATTGACTGCAGCAGCCAACCTTGTATTGTCCATTTTCTTCTCACCTCCCTCCTTGCTCCCTCACCTCCTCACCTGCCCCCCGCCTCGCCGGCTCTCCTCCTCCCGTTCTCGCCTTCCCTTTTTCCTCTTCTCAAACGGTCCTTTGTATTCATGCGGGGATGGGTATAATAGCAATCAGCGGGGTAAACTGGCTATCCTACTTCCCTTTCCCTTTTGAGGCGCCTAAAAAATAAACTGACTGTCCTACTTCCCTTTTCCCTTTTAGACCCCTACGCCCCTCCCTCCAGCGTGTGGAGAAGGTCCCCCAGGTGCAGCGGCCAAGGGGCCGATTGCATGTGGGGGAGGGCCAAGGGGCCGAGTGCATGTGGGGGAGGGCCAAGGGGCCGAGTGCATGTGGGGGAGGGCCAAGGGGCCGAGTGCATGTGGGGGTGTGTGTGTGTGCTGCCTCCATTCCAGCCGCTGCTTTGGCGTGCAGGGCAGGGCATCCTCTTCTCACCCTCTTCTCACCCTCTTCTCACCCTCTTCTCACCCTCTTCTCACCCTCTTCTCACCCTCTTCTCACCCGCTTCTCACCCTCTTCTCACCCGCTTCTCACCCTCTTCTCACCCTCTTCTCACCCTCTTCTCACCCTCTTCTCACCCTCTTCTCACCCTCTTCTCACCCTCTTCTCACCCTCTTCTCACCCTCTTCTCACCCTCTTCTCACCCTCTTCTCACCCTCTTCTCACCCTCTTCTCACCCTCTTCTCACCCTCTTCTCACCCGCTTCTCACCCTCTTCTCACCCGCTTCTCACCCTCTTCTCACCCTCTTCTCACCCTCTTCTCACCCTCTTCTCACCCTCTTCTCACCCTCTGATCTGACCGTATCTTGTCCCTTTGCATTCGTGCTCCTCCTTTTCTCTTCGCGTCGCATGACTTCTCACTTTCCTGATTCCCTTCCTGCACTCCATCTCCCACCCTTGTCTCTCCTCCTCCCACTGTTCCCTTGTCCCTCTCCTCCCCCATCCACTTGCCTTCAGCTCAATCTTAAAAGCAGCTCCTGAGAGCTAATCAGATCGGAGTTTGTTCTATTAGTAGCACTCTACAACAAGACGTCTCCCTTCCTTCGAGTCTTTCCCCATTTCGTCCCCCACCTACTTTAAACAATATACAGGAGTGCTAGTGGGAGAAGATCGAGCCATCGCCATTCTCATGTCCCTCCCTCATATAAAAGTGCGGGTAGAGACGATTTTTTAGGCGCCTCATAAGTGTGAGAAGATTGAACCATCGCCATTCTCATGTCCCTCCCTCATCCTCATCTATCTCGTCCCTCACCCCCCTCTCCCCTCACCATCAGTTTCCAACGCAATCTGGAGGGAGTGCTGGTGGGGGCTGATCGGACCAAGGACCTTGCAGTTCTCAAGGTGAGACAGACACTTACCTAAAGGTCTTCAACCTACTGACGTGACGTCGTTTGAGCCGACTAAAAAAGGTGGGCCATTAATTCAAAAGGTCGTAAGCCTACTGGCACCTTTTGAGTTGATTCAAAAGTGTTGGTGGGAGGGGGCGGATTGCACGTGCACCAAGGACCTTGCAGTGCTGCTCACCATGCCGGATATTTATCACCTTGAGCAGCACTGCAAGGTCCTTGGTGAGAAGAACTATTCAGAATGCTGGATGCTTCCCAAGGCCGGATATTTATTGAGGCCGGATATGCTGGAAAACTCCCAACCGCGAATCGCTTTTTTGTTGTTGTTGTTTTTTTTTTTTTTCGGCGAGTAATTGCATCCGTAACCCTAAAGCCATCCTTGTCCATGTTGAGAAAACTTAGCCAGAAGAACAGAGCTAAAAGAGTTTGTTCTATAGCGGGTGAGTGTGCCCATAAGCCTCTGGCCATCCTTGTTCGTCATCCTTCCCAAGGACGTTAGGCAGATCCAAGTGTTCTTCCAATGCACTCTTTCACTGGAATGGGATAAGGCTAGGCCTTGAGGTAACTTCCGTGGTACACACTAGTGTTCAAACCAAACCTGAAACCTTGAGGCACACAATAGGCCTTGCAGATGTCTCTGATGCTATGCTGGATTTACGCAACTGTCAAACTGGCTTTCTAAAACACAGAGGCTCTTCTCTTAACCAGGCTCCCATCATTATCATGGGGTTCGTTTCGTTGTTTTAAATGCACATTAGGACCTTGCCGGGTGGGGTTCGTTTTGCAGCCCACCTGTCCTAGTGTTCAAACCTAACCCGAAACCTTGAGGCACACAACAGGCCGTGCAGGTGTCTCTGATGCTATGCTGGATAGTTTTTTTTAGTCGACTAAAAAAATCACCATCCGTGATAGTATTCAAACCCGAAAACTCTGAGGCACAAAATAGGTCTTTTCAGTCGCTGATGATGCCATGCTGGATAGACTCAACTGTGAATCACTGAGCTAAAAGGGATTGTTCTACTGCGGGTGAGCACGCTCATAGTTCCCCTGCCTGACCATCCTTGTCTGTAACCCTGCTGCTCGACCTTGGGCCCATTCCAGTGCTCCTCCAACTATTTACTTACTGAAGTGAATTTGAGTGCTCAAGATGATACAACCAAGAAGTTGATTTGCTTGATCTATCGTTACATCTGCATAGTACCTCTCTGATCTGAGGGGTACCTGGTGCTCTTAAAGCCTATCATCTTCTTTCCTCGCCCCAACACTTATTCGCCCCCTTCACCATCCTTCCCCTTCTCCCCCTTGCAAATCCCTCTTTGGTCAACTCCAGAAGTCCCATTGTCAATTTCGTTTCCTATCCTTTTGGATCTCAAGCCACGCGCTAAGTCTCCCTTCCCCTCCCCCCCCCCCACCAGGTCTCTGCCCCTCCCAACCTCCTCCGCCCACGTCCCCTCGGTGATTCCTCCTCCCTGCGGGTGGGGCAACGATCCTACGCCATCGGCAACCCCTTTGGCTTTGACCACACGCTGTTCATTCCCAGTTCCCCTTTCCATTTCCCCAACCCCCCGTTCTCCTTCCCCCACTCCCTCATTGTTCCCCACTTCCCCCCCCACCAGGTCTCCGCCCCTCCCAACCTCCTCCGCCCTCTCCCTCTTGGCGACTCCTCCTCCTTGCGGGTGGGGCAACGCTCGTATGCCATCGGCAATTCCTTAGGCTCTGGGCACACGCTCTTCTTCCCGGATCCCCCCTCCCCTTCTCCCATCTCCCCATGTCCCTTCCCCGATTCCTCCATTCTTCCGCACTACCTCCCCTCAGGTCTCTGCCCCTCCCAACCTCCTCCGGCCTCTTCCTATCGGTGACTCCTCCTCCCTGCAAGTTGGAAAGCGTTGTTCTGCCATCGATAACCCACGCTCTGCCTCCCCGCCCGTCTCTCGCCCTCCCCTCCCCCGCCCACCAGGTCTCCGCCCCTCCCAACCTCCTCCGCGCGCTCCCTCTCGGCGACTCCTCCTCCCTGCGGGTGGGGCAACGCTCGTACGCCATCGGCAACCCCTTTGGCTTCGACCACACGCTCTGACTCCCCTCTTCTCCCCTCTCATCTCTCGCCCTCCTCTCCCACCCCACCCAGGTCTCTGCCCCTCCCAACCTCCTCCGCCCACTTCCTATCGGCGACTCCTCCTCCCTGCGGGTGGGGCAACGTTCTTATGCCATCGGCAACCCCTTTGGGTTTGACCACACGCTGACAGCGGGAGTGCTGAGTGGGGTGAATCGCGACATCTACAGCGCAGCAGGCGTGGTGATTGCAGGGGGTGTGCAGACAGACGCTGCCATCAACCCCGGCAACAGGTGAATGAGGGCTGGGTGTGTGTGTGTGTGTGTGTGGGTGCGCGTGTGTGAGTGTGCGTGTGTGAGTGTGCGTGTGTGAGTGTGCGTGTGTGAGTGTGCGTGTGAAAGAGTGCGTGTGTGAGTGTGCGTGTGAGAGAGTGCGTGTGTGGGTGTGCGTGTGTGGGTGTCCCATCACCCCCACTACCCCATCGGCAACCCCTTTGGGTTTGACCACACGCTGCCAGCGGGAGTGCTGAGTGGGGTGAATCGCGACATCTACAGCGCAGCAGGCGTGGTGATTGCAGGGGGCGTGCAGACAGACGCCGCCATCAACCCCGGCAACAGGTGAATGAGGGCTGGGCTGGTATGAGTGCGCGTGTGTGAGTGTGCGTGTGTGAGAGTGCGTGAGTGAGTGTGCGTGTGTGTGGGTGGGTCATCACACATCCCCACTACCCCATCGGCAACCCCTTTGGCTTCGACCACACGCTGACAGCGGGAGTGCTGAGTGGGGTGAATCGCGACATCTACAGCGCAGCAGGCGTGGTGATTGCAGGGGGCGTGCAGACAGACGCTGCCATCAACCCCAGCAACAGGCGAGTGTCTATGTTTGTTTGCGCAGCGGTTTTGTCTTATGGTTTTGGAAGGTGCAATGCAATACGGTGGAATTTGGGTGGGGTGGATTGGTTGGGGGAAAATGGCGAAATCAGCTTTTGGAAAACAAACAAAGCAACCTGGTGAAACTCGAAACGTTTTTTCCACCCTCTTTTTTTTTTTTTTTTTTTTTTCTCATCACGGAAGAAAAAATCAATCCTAATGCACATTGTCGCACCTAATTCGTGCTATGTAGTTGCACCAGCGTAACTACTCATTACGATTTCATGTGCGTTTTTTTCCAACTTTGGCGAGAGTGTTTCTTCGTAGAATAGTCTAGTCTAGTATGAGTGTGCGTGCGTGCGTGCGTGCGTGCGGCGTGCGTGCATATGTGTGTCCGAGTTTGCGTGTGTGAGTGTGTATGTGTGTGCCTGTGTGAGTGCTTGTATGAGTGAGCGCGTTTGTGTGTGTGCATGTGTGTGTGAGTGTGCATGTGTTATTGTGCTTGTGCTTCATGTTAATATACTCTAATTGACCCATGTTATGATTTTGAAGGGTGACGAGAGGGGAGGGTAAGGGAAAAGAGTGGAGTAACGAGCCCTCCTCTCTCCTCCCTTCCTCTCCCATTCTTCCTTTCCCTTCTTCTTCTTCTTCTTCTTCCACAGTGGTGTGCCTCTGCTTGACTTCACAGGCAGGCTCAAAACTGGAATGAACACGGTCATTTATACCAACACGCGGGTGGGGATGCTGGGAACGCCGTCCATTTCCTGACCTCTCCTGCCCTCCGCTTTCCTTTCCTCCCCCTCTTCCTCGCCCCTTTCCCCTCTCTCCCCACAGTGGCGGCCCTCTGCTTGACTCCGTTGGCAGGCTCATCGGAATCAACACCGCCGCCATCTATACCACTTTGTGGGGTGGGGTGCTAGGAAGGCCGTCCATATTCTTTAGCCTCCCTAACATCTCTCCCCCACCCTTCTTATTTCCCCAACCCCCGCGCGTCCCCACTCCCACACAACAGTGGCGGCCCTCTGCTTGACTCTGCTGGCAGGCTCATCGGAATCAACACCGCCATCTACACCAACACCGGCACATCTGCTGGCGTGGGATTTGCCATCCCTGTATCGGTGGTGGCGCGCGTGGTTCCGCAGATCATCCAGTATGGGAAGGTGAGATATTTTATTACAATATGAAATGGTGGGTCACTTAGGTACAGGGATTTGCAGGGGGCTTTCAGGTCTCTGGTTGCTTCATGAAGTGTGTGTCTATCCGTCTCAGAAGATTTTTTTTTTTTTAATAACATAATGCACAATACCGGATTGATGATATCCGCTTTTATTTCATCCATTCATTGTCGACCGAACTTAATACTCCTCATGTTTTTGCATCAAGTACCATCTAAGTACCACAATTTTACCTCCCCTGCTTTCTGGTTCTCTGTGTCGTCCTCCCCATCCCCATTCAAATTAAGATTGTTTGGGAGGTCTCCATCACGTGGTTTGTCTGTCGACCTCCTCATCCCCACATGAACGTGCTGCCAATGATGTGATTCTCCCGGCGCCCAGCGTTCATCTGGGTGCAGACGGGATTCCCACCAGGGCTCTCGATGTGCTTTTGAGTCGACTCAAAAGTGGCGCCGAGCGTTCAGCTGGGTGCAGACGGGATTCCCAGGCAGCTGTGTGTGAGCCCATTGTGTGTTCTGCTGTGCCCACTTCACACTCCCAACAGATCCCTATCCCTCTCCCATCCCATACCCATGTGTTCCCATCAGGTCATCCGCCCCACGTTGAACGTACAGCTGGCTGCAGGCAGATGGCATTGCCAGGCAGCTGGGCGTGGCAGCAGCAAGATTGACCCGGGCTAGATAGAGCTGACTTTTGAGTCGACTCAAAACGAGGTGACTTTTGTTTGAGTCGACTCAAAAGGTGTGACAGCAGCAAGATCGACCCGGGCTAGATAGAGCTGGCTCACGCACATGTGCTCACCATTCCCATCCCCATGGCCCGTTCCAATTCCCAGGTCATTCGCCCCACGCTGAACGTGCAGCTGGCAGCAGACGGCATTGCCAGGCAGCTGGGCGCGGCAGCAGGGGCGCTGGTTCTTGGGGTGAGTGTGGAGAGATGTGGAGTGAGTGTGGGGTGAGCATGCGGCATGGTTCATGGAGGTGGTATTGCCAGGCAGCTGGGCGCTGCAGCAGGGGCGCTGGTTCTTGGGGTGAGTGTGTGGTGAGTGTGGGGTGAGTGTGTGGGGAGTGTGGGGTGAGTGTGTGGTGAGTGTGGGGTGAGTGTGGGGTGAGTGTGTGGGGAGTGTGGGGTGAGTGTGTGGGGAGTGAGTGAGCATGCGGCATGGTGCATGGTGATGACATTGCCAGGCAGTTGGATGTGGCAGCAGGGGCGATGGTGCTTGGGGTAAGTGTGGGGTGAGTGTGGAGCGAGTGGGGAGTGACTGTGGAGTGTGTGGGGTAAGTGTGGGGTGAGTGTGGAGCGAGTGGGGAGTGACTGTGGAGTGTGTGGGGTAAGTGTGGGGTGAGTGTGGAGCGAGTGTGGGGTGTCATTTTTGTCATCATGCATGGTGCGTGGTGTGTTGTGCGTGCATGGTTTCTGCTTGGCACATGTGAATCACGCCACTATGCGTCATCTCAATCTCACTCCCACCTTCCACCTTGCACATACCTTTGCCGAAAAAAAGAAAAGAAAAGAAAAAAAAATCTCCACCTTCTTCCCTCTTCTCCCGGGGTCAGCAGCAGCCAAGGGCGGTATTTCCCTCTTCCAGCCTTCCCAGCTCGCCTTCCTCTCCCCCCTCTTCTCCCTACCCCTCCTCTCCCCCTCCTATCCCCTTCCTCTCCCCCTCCTCGCCCCCTCCCCCTCTCTCAGGTGAAGCCAGGGTCAGCAGCAGCCAAGGCAGGAGTGACGGCCACAAGGAGGGGCTTTGCAGGCAACATTGTGCTGGGAGATGTGATAGTGGCGATTGATCAATACACTGTAAGTTATTTGTACCGTTATGATGGAAGCCATTGATCAATATACTGTACGTGATCTATAAAATTAGAATCTTTGGCTGTACTGCATTGGTTGAGTACTTGTTGGCTTCTTGTTGATTCGTTATATTGACTGCCACTCACCCGTCTCTCCTCCCCATGTTGAACCCCCGTCAAATAAAACCTTTGATGTATGTACAGGTGAAAATGGCTGCTGATGTGGACAAGGCCCTGGATGACCTGTCAGCGGGTCAAACTGTGTCGCTTCAGTTATTGAGAAATGGTGAGAAGGTAACGGTGCAATTTCCTCTTGAAGAGTCTTCATAAGAATCATATTGGCAAGGAATATTACACATGCAGAGAGCGATCGTTTTGATGTGATAGATTAAATTGGTTACCATAGTTGCAGGGGCATTAGTAAGAATTTTCCTTTATTGAAGGTTCCTTCATTATAGATGCAGGATCTTTGTTCTGTCAAATAGACATGAACAAGTTCTGGGCTTTTGTTATTTCACAAGATATGTGTATAACGAATCTGCTTGTGGACGGATAGTTGTTGCGATCTGCTCGTGGTTGCTTGTGATGGATCTCCACTTCTGCCGGAGCCAATACCAGCCTCCAGCGTGGTATCTCTCAACGCGCTCCAATCATCTCGCCACATAAATTCACGAAGTCCTCAAGTAGCGCCACGTCATTTGGGTTACACTCTCAGCATAACCCAATAGTGGACGTGTCGCGGACCAGATTTTTCCTAGAAGTATTGAAATTGACTTGTCCTGGAGTCTAGAAACCAGCTGTGTGCGTGAATCTTAGAAGCCTGTCGCGATTCGCGAGCAAGCCAGTCTGTTGAAAGCACTGAAAGTGCCACAGACTAGCTTTCTCGTGAATGCAACTTCCTCCTGCTTTTGTGCTGTCAATTGCACGACATTTTGTCTCGTTTTCGAAAAGGCATTCGCGAATTCGGCGTGTTTCACAAGTGGTTAGGACCAATCAAAAGGCCAGTAATCAAACTAATAACTATCCACTTGGAACTCCTCGGTAGCGCCGATTGGGTTGTGGAAGATGCTGTTCGTGCAAGCACAGCATCCCCACTGCGCACCCTACTCATTTCGCTCAGACGGGCTTCGCCAAACTTCGTCACGCCAAAACTTGTATGGCGAAATATCCTCTCGCTGTTACTCGGTAACAGCATCATGGGGTCCGTCCAGCCACCCGCGTTTTCGCAGCAGGAATGCTCGCACCGACAATGCAGCTGCGTCGAAGCTTCCTCGTAATAGCAGGCGCTTCCTGATACGCGCGTCGCAATCGGGCGACGCGCAGACACCCGGTGAAAGGACATTAAAGGCCATTAGGGATGCTGCGGGGGCAAAAACCGGAGCGGCCGCCGACAAATCCGGCGGAGGAAACGGCGGAGATGCCGGTAGTAGCAGCGGCAACGCAGCGCAATCGGCGCTGGAACGCGCATTAGCATACAAGGCGAAGAGGCAGCAGCAGCAGCCAGGAGCGACCGCAATCGCCGCAGCAACACCTGCTGACAGCAATGCTACTGCTTCCGGCGGTAATAACGCCTCAAGCAGCAGCAATGGCGGTCCCGCTGCTTCCACTACTAGCGGTGCTGCTGGTGCTGTTACCAGCATTGAAATCAGTGGTAACCCTACCAGCAGCGCCGTTACCGGTGGTAACCCTACCAGCAGCGCCGTTACCGGTGGTAACCCTACCACCAGCGGCGTGCGATCGTACGCGGATCAGGTGGCGGAGATGGTGGCGGCGCTCGCGGCGCGGGAAGCAGAGCAGGGAAAAGCGCAGCAGCAGCAACAGGGGGACGAGGAGGGGAAAGCGAAGGCGAAGGGAAAGGAGGAGGAGGACGATAAGGATATTATCGAGGTGGAGATTGTAACGAGGGACGGAGTGATCAAGCGCCGGACTAAGCGGTCGGAGATGGAGTGGGGAGGGTCAACCGGCGCCAAGAGCGCCAGACCCGGCGGAATCGGCGGCGGAATCGGCGGCGGGATCGGCGGCGGGATAGGCGGCGGAATGATGGGGAATCCCGGGGTAGCCGGGGCGCGCGCGCGAGGCGCGTCGACTCTGTCGATTTCCGGCGCGGATTTTCTCGGATTGGGGTTTCAGGAGGATCGGGAGAAGCAGCAGGCGCGCGGGAAGGGCCCGCTGCCAGCTGGACTGCAGGCTGACGTGGACTTCGACGCGGCCACGTCAGCAGGGAGTCTCCCGCAAGTGGAGATGATCGTCGGATCGCGTGTGATTACCAAGAGGGGGGAGACGCCGGGGGAGCAGCGGCAGGGGGGGGCGCAGGGGGAGGGCGAAGGGGGAGCGGGGGGAGCGGAGAGCGAGTATAAGCCCAAGGTTGCCACGTGGGGAGTATTCCCGAGGCCAAGAGACATCTCGAGAACGGTGAGAGGGAGAGGGTGGGGGAAGGGTGGGGGGAAGGAGGGGGGAAGGAGGGGGGAACTTGACGGAATGATTCCTTTTTCTTTAAAACGTTTAGCAACTTGTGGGGTATTCCCAAGGCCTAGAGACATTTGAAGGATGGTGAAGGCGGGGGGGGGAGGGTGGGGTTGAGGGTTGGGAGAGAGGGAGTTGGGAGGTTGATTTCTTTTAGGATGCACCTTGAAATGAAAATGGTGAGACGTGGGGGGTAAGGGCCAAGGGACATCTCGAGAATGGTGAGAAGGAGGGAGAGGGTTGGGCGGTATGCGCCTGTGTGTGGGTGCCTCAATGTTGCAAGCGAGTGTGTGAGGGAGAGGGTTGGGGGGTATGCGTGGGAAGATGAGGAAACGGATTCCTTTTTCCGTACTGACGGGTGCAAGACCTCACCAATGCGGATGCCATCTCCACCGTTCTCCACCCCTCTCTCTTCCCCATCACACTCCCATCTTCTCCCTCTGTCCCCTTCAGTATGGGGGAGGGCGCACCATCAGGCCAGGAGAGGCGCTAGAGACAGAGGAGGAGAAGAGGGAGAGGGAGGAGACGACACGAAAACTGCTGGACGAGGGATGCCACTGCTGCTGATGCCATCCCCTTCGCCTCCCCTTCTCCGCTTCTCCCTGTGTGTCCCCTTCCAGTACGGTGGAGGGCGCACCATCAGGCCGGGGCAGGCACTAGAGACAGAGGAGGAGAAGCGGGAGAGGGAGGAGAAGACGAGGAGACTGCTGGATGAGTACAACCGACGCATGGGCTTTAAGATGGACCCCGCCGTCAAGGCGGAGTGCGAGGAGGTGAGTGGGAGTCCGCCCTTTTGCATCTCCCTCTCGCCGTGCTGGTAGAATGAGCATGGGCTTTTAAATGGACCCTGCCGTCAAGGCAGTGTGCGAGGAGGTGAGTGGGATGGGTATCCCCCAGTGCCCCTTTGAGTCCCCCCGTCCCCACTGCTGGTTGCACGCGCATGGGTTTTAAGATGGACCCTGCAGTCAAGGCAGTCTGCGAGGAGGTGAGTTTGTGTGAGATGACCCCTGGTATTTGTCACGCGCATAGGCTTTAAGAGTTTTAGATGTATCCCGCTGTCAAGGGGCGTGCAAGGAAGGGGCGATGAGGCCTGTGCAAGGCACAGGCTGGCTGGGCTAGCCACAGAACATTCTCTCTCTTCTTCAGAATTCTCTACCTCCCCGCCTGCAGGCGATGAGGGAGGGAGCAGCGGTGATGGAGAGGGGGAGGCTGAGGGAGGCACTGAAGCAGTTTGGCGTGGTTGTGGGTGGGAGAACTTTCGGCCAGTACCCCCCTTCCTCAAGTAACACCTCCCCATCCCCCTTCTTCCCGTTCCCGTTCTTACAGGCGATGCGGGAGGGAGCAGCGTTGATGGAGAGGGGGAAGCTGAGGGAGGCACTGGAACAGTACGGCGTGGTGGTGGTGGTGGGCCAGTCTGAGCACACTCCATCCCCAGTAACCCACCCTTCCCATGCCCCCCTTTCACCTTCTCCCCTAGTAGGCCATGAGAGAGGGAGCGGTGCTGATGGAGAGGGGCAAGCTGAGGGAGGCACTGGAGCAGTACGGCGTGGTGGTGGCCAAAACGACCTTCCAGAACGAGATGCACGGCAGAGCAGCCATTCAGCAGGCTGTTTGCCTCGACTCCCTTGCCCGGTGAGTGCTGTGCCTTGACTCGCAAGCTTGGGGCTTAGGTTTGGGGTTTAAGATCTGCCCTGGGCAGTTTGGCGTGGTGGTGGCCAAAACGACCTTTCAGAACGAGATGCACGGCAGAGCAGCCATTCAACAGGCTGTGTGCCTTGACTCTCTCGCACGGTCAGTTCTCTGCCATGGTATGTTTGCAGTTTGGCGTGGGCTTGGCTCAGAGCACCACCTTTCAGAACGAGATGCACGGCCGGCCCGCTATTGAACAAGCTGTGTACCTTGACTCTCTCGCGCGGTGAGAGAGGGTTGCGGGGGTTAGGGTTTCAGATTGAGGCTTCTGGGTTAAGGGACTCGGGTTCAGGGTTCAGCTGTGGGGGGGCTTGGCTCAAAGCTCAAAACGACCTTCCAGAACGAGATGCACGGTCGGGCCGCCATCCAGCAGGCCGTGTGCCTCGACTCCCTCGCACGGTGAGGATTGCTGGGGTTCTGGGTTCAGAGTTTACGGTTCATCTGTGTGGGGCTTGGCATAAAGCTCAGCGCAGCACCTTCCAGCACGAGATGCACGGGCGGGCTACCATTCAACAAGCTGCGTGCCTCCACTCCCTCGCACGGTGAAGAGAGGGTTGTTGAAAGTTGGGGGTTCGGATCCGGGTTTCGGGCTTAGGTGAGGGTCGGGTTTTGGGTTCACTGTGTGGGGGCTTGGCTAAAAGCTCCAAGCACCATATTCCAGAACGAGATGCACGGCCGGGCGGCCATCCAGCAGGCCGTGTGCCTTGACTCCCTCGCACGGTGAGAGTTGCCAGGGTTTGGGGTTTCGAATTCAGGAATTTAGGCATAGGGTCACTGATTGAGTGCTGGGTTTAGAGCTGGGTCGAGGGTTCAGCTGTGTGAGGGCTTTGCTCAAAGAACCGCTTTCCAGAACGAGATGCTCGGCAGAGTGGCTGGCGTGGCCATACAGATACAGCAGGCCGTGTGCTTCAACTCCCTCTCACAGTGAGTACTGCTGGGTGGATGGGTGGATGGAGCACTTCAATACTATCCAGCACTGGGTGGATACAGCACTCACCACCGTGCGTGCGGCTGTATCGAGGGTGCCCCTTGTTAGGGCCCCTGCTATTGCTGTTCCGTTTGCATTACACACCTCCTTCATCTTACCCTCAACTCAACCCAGCGCCACTTCAGAAGAGGTCACAGGAGTTAGAGTCGCCTCTCCTCTGTCCCTCTGTCCAGGCGGGGCGGGGCCAAGGGATGTATGCGAGGCTGAGAGTGCATTTTCAAGGCCCATCTATTTCCTCTCGCTATCATGCTTCCGTTCTTTATGCACACCCGCTCCTTTCCACTTTCACCTCCCCTCCTGACGCTTTAAACATCCCCCCTGACCCTTTCTCCCCTCCCCTTTCACCAGGTCATATGAGGCCAAGGCGATGTACGAGAGGCAGACAGGCAGACGCACTCACTCTTGCTTCCATGCTTCCTCCCCATCCCCACGCACTAACACCCCCCCCCCTCCCCCCCATTCACTAGATCGGATGAGGCCAAGGCCATGTACGAGAGGCTGACAGGGCATCCCAACGAAGGGGTCAAGAGGAAGGCCCGTCAAATGCTGTTTGGGTTCCAGGTGAGGGCACGTGCCATTTGTCGGTTTAAGCGTTGGCTGCTTCTTCCGCTGCTATTGGCGTCCGCGGTTGCTTTTGTATTTTCATGCACCGTTTGTGTCAGTGTTTTACCGTAAGATGCTTTCCCCATGGGGATTTTCTCAACCATTTTCTTCTCATATGCATTCTATGGACTGTTTTCTATCTCTTTGTTTGATGTGTTGTTGTAACAGGCAGCAGAGAGTCTTCGCTTCACGGGTGGCTCTGACTACGACTCGTCTTGGTACAAGAAATACTTCGATGCGCTTGCAAAAGGTTCCAAGTACAATAATGTTTACAAGGCAACGCAAGAGGATGAGGAGGAGAGCAATAAGCAGCTGGTGAAAGATGCACTGTTGTATGGGCTCTTGTTGCTCATGCCTGTTGTGCTTATTCTAGCAGTGGCGGCAACAAGGAATGCGAACTGATGGTTTTCTGCTCACTCTCATATTGCAATTGTTGGGAACCACTGCAGGTGTGCTGCGCTGGCCTTCCTGCTGAGGCTGTTCTTTGAAAATACAGATTGCTGAGTAATGCATGTATTGCTCGAATTTCCCTGCATGATAACATTTGTACATATTGGGCTACATGCAGGGCCTATGATTCACTTTTAGGCACGTAAAGGCATCAGGGTCCCCTCGTGTAGAATCCCTGATAATCAGTGTCTCTAAAAAAAAATCCCTGAAAGTTCAGTGTTCCTTTTTAAAAATCTCTGATGCATCAGTGTCCCCATTTTCTAAACGCTGATACACTTCAATAACTAGAACACACTACTAACTAGCTAGCTTGCATTCAATAACTAGAACACACTGCCAGCATTGCTATGCTGCAACCCTGTGATTGGTCAACCCATGCAATGATGCGAAACTGGGCAACGATCGTTCCACGCGCGCCAAATTCAACAGCCCACCAGGTGTAAAACTCGGGTAAAATTTGTCTCGTTCTCACCGCCAGGTGGTGCTGGCCTGGCGGTTAGTACCAGACGATTTTTTTTCCAAATATTCCCTGTACTTCGGGGCACCTACACTCGGCACGTGTAGGAACCGCATTCAGGGTCAGTTTCGTTACAACGTAAAGTGATCAGTGTCCTTTCGAAAAAAAACCTGAAAGATCAGAGTCATCTGGCACCTAAAGGCTGAAAAATCAGCCCCTAAAAAAACTGAACACTGGAAAATCAGGATAGGTACAAAAAAATCCCTGAAAATCAGGAATTTCAGGGAAAAATATCTGATAACGTAGGGCCTGGCTACATGGTTGTTCTCATTGCTGCAACTTCAATATCAATGCACGTGCGATCAGAAGGTCACAACACATTTGATTATAACAAGCTACTCATGTTTGGTTGCTAAGGAGGACGGACGCCGTACCAGTTAGTTAGGACGTCGATCCACACAGCCAACGTCAATATATCGAGAAGCAAGGTGTACATAACATTTACTGTACACCGTGATGCACCGACACGGCCCACCAGTTTGGTGAGTTGGTTGGACATGGTGGGAGAAAGTGTGGCATGGCACATCGCATCTCCTTTCAGACGCGATTTGGTTCCTGACGTTATGAAATGTTTTTGCAGACACCCCTACCCCGCGTAATATACTGTAGTGAGGGTTCTCAAGAGATAATTGGGAGGCGAAATCGGATGTGTATGAGACAAACACGTCCATGGCAAGAGTCGGAAATTCCCGTAGTGGAGAGATTCACCGCTTGAGCCACGCAGTCTGTAAATGCAACACCAAGTTGTTTGCAGGGCCAGGAGGAAGTCAAAACCCCGCCACTTTTATAATTCTTGACCCCGCCACCGAAACACAGCTCACGCTCCACCGAAACTGTCAGGCTGACTGAAAACACGTTGATGTTGGTCCATCCCGGAAGACTTTTTCGAATGTCCCGAGGCGGCCTCCCCCCCACAGATTCCCGCCAGGCAGGTCCGCCTGGGCTATCCTCCCCTTCACCCTTTCGCACTAGGCATCCCCATCCCGCCCTGGCATCCCCGCCCTCTCCCTCCCGCCTTGGCATCCCCAAACCGAATCATTATAGTTCGCCTCGGCTCGGCACCTCAAACCGCACTCGCTAGGCACATTTCTCCCGCCCCGCAGCGTCTCCCTCCCGCCTTGGCATCCCTTAGCGACGGTAACGCAGCCGTCGAACTCGAGAACTCGAGAACTCGGCTGCGTTACCGTCGAACTCGAGAACTGGAAATGTACAGTGTAATGTATACATGTATTAAATTGAAGTAATACTAGTCACTTCAACTTTCAAAGATGTTGATAAAGAGCCCCAACAAATGCCTGCAGATTAGGGGCGATTATCACTTGATGTTTTCTTAATTGAAATGGCTCCTACTAACATAGGATGGCCTTATATAAGTGAAACATAGGACTTCAGACACTTAATGTTGACTACTTTCTTGAATGAGCACTTGGTTCACTACCTCTTTCATAGCTTCCTGTGTTGTAGACTGGGTGAGTTTTGGAAAGGTGGGTGTGTTTCCTGGTCCCCCTTGGTCTGCTGAACATATTGGGAAATTTTGGTTATTTTGTCCAACATTGACTCGTTGACTACTTTCTGCCTACAACACATGAACCAGGTATTATATGCGTGGTCTGTTTCTGGTTTACAACACGGTTAGTGGGCTTGAAACACAGTGTTTAGGTTTTAGCATAGTAGTGACAGGTAGTGTTTCAGCTAGCTGACTGGCACAACTGACGTGATACAAGCTGGTTCAAGCTGACACTTGCCTAAACAGTTGTAGCTAGTGCACATACCACTCTTGACCATAACTTTTGCTCCAGAGAGTTTAAGGGCCCAATTGTTTGGTCAGTAGTACCCTTAAACCAGATATAGGATCCTTGCAAGAACCCGAGCTTTGAAATTTTCCCACCTTAACTTTTCAACAACTTGCATTTGTTTGCATTTTTGTTCATAACTCAAGAACCTGTACATCAATTGCCCTGAAGTTTGTATGTCACTGTCAATCTACACAACATAGCTCTTATGCAAAAAATCAGATCAATCTGAAATTCCCACACCTCATTCTTACCTCTTTCTCTCCTTTTACATTTCCTGTGGTAAATCAAGAACCACAGGTCCAAAACAGTTGCATTTGGTATGGTACCAGCTGTCCTCTACATATTACAACCCTGCAAAAAATCAGACCACTCACATAATTGTAGAGCACAAATCAACCTTCTTGCGTGATTTATGGTTATTTGGCCCTAAATCAAGATCCACTTCCTCACGTGACCTGCTTTTTATATTGATGCCATCTGTGCACCAGTTAATGCCCTTGTGCAGAATTTAGGACCATTCAATAAACTCCACACCACAAATTCTGCTTACTTTCATATTCTGGTCCTCAATGCAAATAACACAAGTTTATTGTCTAAGTCATTTTAGACAACACACTCGTTTCGGCTGTGAGAGCACCGAACTTGGTGTTTTCAGCGCAGAACTTCACCACTTAGACATGCGAGTATGCAGAGCTCTGCATCACACCGATGTTCGCACGTCGCAGAAATTGCAGATATCCGCGCATGGTATACATCTCGCAGTTTGCTGCAAGGCGAGTTCGCATTGTAAGGGTGCAACTCGATGGGTCGGGTGAATGCATGGTTGGTTTGTCGACCATAGCACATGTGTCCGCGTAAGTATGCAGATCGCCTCGTGTTTCGAGATTCATCGATCAACTGTTGATGGTACTTGTGCATATAATGTCGTTGCGCTTATTGTCTCACAGATTAGGACAATCATTGTGCGCAGGGTCATCGGATCGTTGTCGGAAAGATGAGAGTTCGCTGATAACAGCCATTGTCGTGCAACTTCGCAGATAGCTTTGTTGGTCGACCGCGATATCTGAGTTGAGTGTGCAACCTGATGGGTCTGGTGAATGCATGGTTAGTTTGTCGACCACAACACATGTGTCCGCGCAAGGTTGCAGATAGCGGTCGTGTTTCGAGATTCATCGATGCTCTGTTGATCTTTCTTTTGCAGATAATATCGTTGCGCTTATTATGTCACAAATGCGGACAATCATATTGCGCAGGGTGAACGGATCGTTGTCGACAAGATGGGAGTTCGCTGATAACAGCCATTGTCGTGCAACTTCGCAGTCAGCGTTGTTCATGGTTTTCAAGGTGCATTGCATTCCAGTTGTTTTGCACAAGCAAATCGCTGGACTCCAAATGTCTAGAACTTCGTCCATTATTGCAAGTTCGAGGTTTAGCAATGCGCAGTATTATGTGATTGCAGATTGTGCATTGTGAAAGGTAGCAACACGAAACAGAATTATGGTCGATCCACTACTTTCCCCCCGCACTCCCCTCACTGTCCGCGGATTTGGTTCCCCGCGACCGATGACCCGGAAGCACATCTACAGCCGCACATCCACGAGACCTTAGCCATTTCACCGCGTGACCACACATGCACCAACGCACGGCAACATCGCCCGCAAACTCGACAATCTCCTTCCAAGCCGCGTTGTCGTACTGGACACCCGTAGAGGCAGTTTCCTTGATCGATTGGACATACTTCTTGAAGGGTAGGGCTTCCTTGGGCTGACTTAGAGCGACCAAGACTGCTCCAGCAGCTGCAACAGACACTTTGGCGAAACCGCTTTTTCCCGCTGCTGCCCAAGCGGCTGTCCATGCGTCTGCCATAACGGCTTTGTTGTCCACACCTCTGCATGTACCCCACAGAGTTGAAACCATAGCCGCGAGAATGGATCGAAACAACTCGACGCCCAATCCGTGCGGAGGCTTCTTTACTCCCCCATCGAAGACACGTCCCACCGCGATAGCTGTCCCAGCACATAGAGCAATCTCCCAGCTGACACCTCGAGCCACAAGATCTTCAGTCTCTGTCTTCGCGACTGGGAAACTGGCAAAGAGTTAACACGGTTAGCATTCGGAAGTTACCAAAATCCCAACACGGTTTAGCATTGTACTCACATTGTCGTGCGGCACACATCGTAGCCGTCCATAACGCTCCACAAACCAGACGGCCATTTTCGCGCGAATTCCAAAAGCTCGCGCCATCTGCGCTCCTCCTCCACATCTATTTTGTAATGTTGCAGATTGATATCAGGGAAATACACGCTCCAGCAAACAGCCGCCGAGAAGTGCTGCTCTGTTTCTGAGTCGAACGTACCCAGGTGTCTCTTCCGACCACCCACAATCTGCTTCGATATCCACGTTCGCCCAGCACCCTTTTTAACAAGCCGGCTTGTTAAACCTGCACCCTTGAACGGCTCCCTCACCCCCATTGTCTTCCCATCGCCTCCGACCATTGGAGCAACTGCGCTCCACCTTAGCCTTTTGGCGCTAGGTTTTTTGGACGCAGCCACCACCTTCGCCGCATCGTCTCCGAGACCACCAGGGCCGACTAACGTTCCGACCTCAGCGGCAACGTTGGGTTCCACGACGTCATTGAC